CATTTGTGGTATTGATCATGTTATATTGGCAGTTGCAGAAAAGAAACTAACTTATTCTTTTAATGCTACCAAGTTCTGACACTATCTTAGAGTCAGGGAGATTGGGTCAAGTATTGAATCCAGCAAAGGGAAAGCAATGATCCTTTTCATTTCTTTGTAATCACCACAGAAGACTCACTCAGTCACATTTCAAGGTTTTGAAGCTATAAGGAGTATTTGAGTTTAAGATGACAATCATTTCTCGTTCTAATGGCATATTAAATCAAACTTTGTTGGCCCCAAGGTGACTCAAAGCCATCAAACTCAGTCAATGCATTTCTTCCTGCATAGGTTACAACAACAAAAAAAGAAAACTTGAGCTGAGGTGTCTCAGTTGAGAAAGGGTTTAACACACTCTAGGTTTATAACTTACCAGTCTTTCTAACAAAGACTGCAATGGACATCCAAATTGATGGGGTTTGTTTGTCAAGTTGGGAAGAAAAGACCTTTGCAAAAGAAAGTTGGTCCAAATGTCACCCAGGGTGCCGATAAATCACATGTAACACGCCAAACCTCCATTTGTCTCTGTTCTTTTGTAAGCCAGTGATTTGTAGTGGGCTCCACTTTTGTCAGCTCATACCTAAGATGGCTATAGTTTTGTAAGCACAGAGATTTCTTGTCGTCTCTGCCATAAATCAAATTTTCAGTTAATGCTTCCGGAGATCATGTTCATCTTTTAGTGACTGAAGTCAACATACACTTGAATAACTGTTCAACACATGTTTAGTTTTGCAGTTTTTAGGGACCAGTCAATGCCTTACATCAAAGCATTAAGTTAGCCTAAATATACAGTGAACACATGAATAACAAAGCATTCGTTAGATTTTAGTTTCCACATCCAGCTGCTGCCACATGATTAGAAAGTAAATACATCGGTAACAGCGACACGGCCTGCTGTTTGAAGACACACTACCACTCTAGAGATATGCAAATGATTAATCAGGCCCGCTTCAAGGTCAGACACTCGGGCAATTTACATTTAAACATGGCCACTGGCAAAACAAATCAATTTCCTAACCTTAACCTCTTTCACAGCTCCACATGCAGTCAGGTGAGCGGAGCACAGTTAGACGTGTGTGTATTACTGACAGACTGACTCACTGAGGGATATTGAGAGGTTACATCCTCCCACACTCTTGAATGCATCCTCTGTACGGGGAATCAGATGCAAAAAAAATAAAAAAATTGACAGATATGGAGCAATAGATGAATAAGTAAAACCCCCACAGCACTGGGTGCCAGGCAACAGATGCTGATAACTGCCTCAGATTAGGTCCTAGATTGTCGTCGGCTCCTGCCAAGACTGATGCTATATTTACCGCTCCCTCTCTCCATCCCTTCTCTGATCGTGTCTGTGCCACCATGATGTGTCATCTTCACGTTATGTCTGGCATCTACGATGGAGCGCCAGGTGTGAAATGGAGATGAAATATTCATTTTGAATGCCAGAATACTTTCACTTAAGCAGGAAATGATATGGCAGAAGTGAGGGATTGAAGATTTGTAGTAGGTTCATTCACGCTTGATTGGGGCCCCAGATGTTGGGGGTTGAATATGGATTTTGTAGTTTCAAGGGGACTTTTGAAACATTTTCTCTTGATAGAACCTGGGACAGCTTTCACACAGTTTAAAGAGACCCCATCTGAGCATACCGTAACCTTTAGTGGAAAAATTCTTTATCATTCAAGCAGCTATTTTGAAAGTCAAGAGTGTTCCTTTTTCCATGATGCTCCCTCTGTGCTAATCCAAAATGTCTAGGTTCTGTTTAGACTTGGATTCAGAAACTCAATGAAAGCTAGGACACCTTTGGAAAAATGAGCATGGACACAAATACCCCAGTCAGCGATTATGTCAGTAGAGATGAGGAAAAAAAGCGGGAGGATTGGAGTGAAAAAGTACAAAAAAACAACGAGATGTTGTGCTGACGCTGTAAAATCTTGACATGTAGGCCTACGTCTTACTTTACAGTAATTCACAGTATTGGTAGGACTGCAGGATTTCAGCACTAAGCTGTTTTGTTATCAATATTAACAATGGAAATATTTACTGAGAAATGCACAAAACCAGAAGAATATAGTGATATTTATCCAGATGCAGAGGAAGGATTCAGTTCTTTTAAGTAAACATAGCTATGCTATGCTATATTATTAGCAAAACATACTTAATTTATCAAAAGTAAAAAGTACTCATAATAAAGAAAAATGACATTGGATTATTATTACTGATGCATTAATGTAGAAGTAGCTTTTTTTTGGTTGAGGTGGAAGTCATTTTCAATATTTTTGATACTGTTGGGTAATTTAATCCATTTTCCATCATTTTACAAGTTGATCATGTGTTTTTTTTGTAAAATCTAAATAAGTAAAATAAGTAATATTTCCCTCCGATTGGTAGTGAAGTACAAGTAGAAAGCAGCTTGAAATACAAAAATACTCAAGTACAGTACAAGTACCTAAAATTAGTGCAGAAGTTGAGTAAATGTTAGTAAGATTCTTTATTTCTTTGCCATTTCCATTCTACACCAACATCTACAAGTATTCTGGCCAACACTGAGAAAATCCTACTAAATTGTCCAATCTGAAGCCACTGACCTCTGTACCCACTTTCTTTCAGGACTAAACCAAAGTAAATGGAAAACTTTACGCTATAAATTGTTTGGCAAAGGGAGACGAGGACACAGGACAAAGATTTTGAGGACACAGATTTTCCACAGTAGCTAGTCAGCAGGCTGAACAGAGCAGCTTAATTGAAGAGCCTGAAATAGAGACTCTCTATTAGGGCTGAAGAGGCTCCCTGCACCAGCAGCCTATCAGGAGCGACAATTGTCTGTCTTTGCTCTCTGTATACCCTCAAGATAGCAGAGAGAGGAAAAAAAGGGACACAATTACCAAATAGCGCAAAGACGCTGCATAGTCATTGACAGAAGGCTAATTTGTGTGCCAATTTAGTGCTGACAGAAGGTGGTATGTCTTGTAACATCAATCCAAATTGCTACACAGAAGTGTGCTTTTGCTCTCTTCCAGCAGTAAGGTTGCAGTGTTACTGTACATCTTAAATCACAGTTTTAGTATTTGGCTGATCATACTTGAAGTGACTTATGTGTGCATCTGGACAATAGCAAACTGTAACAGTAAAAATAATCGACTGTCCATGATGCTTTATATCCTGTACCATTCCCTGCATGTATACTTAATTGATAATATAAATATAAATAAAAAAACACTGTGGTTACTGTAACTTTGACTTGAGTTGTGTGAGCATTGCACTCTACTGGTAGCTATTATGTATTGCAGGATGGACTCCAGTTTACAGTTGAGACTGCCCTAAATTCTCAGGTCTATAGCACAGTCAGTACCTCAACTCTTTTTTGTCATGTGGCGTCTGGAGCTATGCACCTCACAGCTGACAACAATAAAATAAAAAAATAAAAACCAACACAGCTGTATCCCCCCTACAGAGTTAGACCTCCAGAAATGAGCTTGTGTTGTTCCTGAGTGCTGCTAATAAGATACAGGAGTTGCGGGAAGTATTGGATGTCTCTGAAATCACAGAAAAACAACGTAATACCACCAACTGTTTCTCTTCTCAAAGCTTTCAGAACGTCTAGAGTTCGGAGCTGGCCGTCGTATTAGCTCATCTAATGTCTAAAGCTTTTGATTTCCCAGGTGAACCCACGGACATTTTTCTTGCCCCCCTCTAACAAGCACACAGACTTATAGCTCTACAGACCAGCCACGACTCTGGGCTCTTACAGTGACTATGCCACCAGATGGCAGTCAATAATGCTGTAATCCCACAAATCCAGGAATCAATGCAAGAGATGCTTTTGCTGGCATAGCAATGCTGGAATAACTGGTCCGCAGATGGTTTATATGGTGACATTTACAACATTTAATGCATCTTTCATTGCGTCAGTGAGAGAAAATGACCAATGAACTTTTGTTTATTATGCTGTGTCCTGTGTCACTTTATGCATAATATCTTATTAAATAAAATATCAAATTAAATGTTCATCCATCAGTCAGTGGTGAAAAATAAACTTTACACAAGTGCTATACTTAATTAGAATTTTGAGGTGCTTGTACCTTACTTGAGTATTTTGAGATACTTCTTACAACATACTATATTTCAGTGGAAAATATATATATTTTTAAGTCCACCTCACAGCTATAGTTACAAGTTACTTTTCAGATTAAGAAACCCAAAGCATGATCAGACTAAAATATGATGCATTGTTAGAGGTTCAACTACCCAAAAATATACAAAGCAGATACGTTAGCTCCATCTTGACCAATAAATAATATTAAAATACCATTTACACATTTATGCATTTATTTTGCAATAAAGTAATTCATCAAATAATGTTAAATAATCCTATGAGAATAATTTACAACCAATACTTAAGTGCATATTGAATGCATTTTTCCATTGTAGTGTTGCTACTTTACTTGAGTAAAGATGTGAGTATTTCTTCCACTACTGCATTAGTTCAGTTTAGTTCAACTTTATTGTCAGACTCGGCATCCTCTAGGCTACATTGTAAAAAGATATTATACAAACATAACAGTATAATCCTAAAACGTATTAATGGAAAAAACATTTTAAAGTAGTATTATTAAAATATTATAAAGGACTTATCACAACAAATGACAATATTAGTACAATATTGTAAAAAGTGCAATAAAGTCACCCTAAAATCACTGTCAGACCTCAAACAAATCATTAGTCATGTTTTTTCAACATTTCATCCAGTAAAATATCTTTGAATTCATTAAAACAGCTTGCTGAAAGTCTGTACGTGCCCAGAAGAAATTCTTTCAGAATAGGCAGACACTCAAGAAATACCAAACAAAGAAATCCGACCAAAATCCAAAGGGTGGGAAGTCACTGTTCCTGCCCCTTACCCCAAAAACTCGTCTCTCATTGGTCAGCACCGAGAGGTCTGCCTCGTCCATTGGCTGGCTCTGCTGTCAGAACAGTGCATCGCCGTCCAGTGTTCCGTTGCGTCGGGATCAGAGGACGCAAAATCAAGTGAAACAAATCTTCTGACAGGAGAAAAGTTCATGCTGGAGTTTCCAAATACCTCAGAGGGGCATATGAAGGTAAGAAGACCTACAAAATACGTGTTTGTGTTGGCGGTGTGAAGATGGAGACAGTAATGTTTTACCGTGTTTACACTTTTCGTTCAAAAGAAAAGAAAGAAAAAAAAAATAGATGTAGCCAAAGTACATAGTCAAGGCTACAGGCCGAGCCGTTTGGACTGCACTTTCTCTAGAGCTAGTAGCACAAAGATGTGTTTTGTTCGTGCAAAAAAATACACATTAGGAGTAATAAGTAGGCTATTCTTGTCAAACATATTTTTAGCGAGTGTAAGAAATGAGAGTGACATCTCCCTCAGTCAGATGTTGACCGATTGATCTTCATTTGCAGCGGTTCCAGTTGTTAAATAACGCTTATTCAGAAAAATCAACACTCTAGTTTAATGTATTCGGTTTTAATATGTTTTTTTAAGCTTAGGCTGCATCGAAGCCAGTGGGAAGCAAACTGAGTAAGTAAGTGGCCTACACAAAAATGAGGTTGACTACTAAATCCAATTTAGTATATCCAGACATGCTGCATCTGGTCAGCCAACCTGATTACCACCACAAGGAAAATCAGCAGACCTCTCAGGCTATACTTCCCCTCAGATGACCCTCATTTTATGTTAAAGTTTGTGGGCCTAAGATGTTTCAGTCTGTGACATGTATTCATGCAGACGTTGTATTTCCCCCTCCTACCTTCCCATTAAGATGATGTGAGGGAAGATTTGGAAAGAGTTTTATACACATACAAAGTTTTCATGCAATTGGAAATACTGTTACTATAATCTTTTTCTGTAATTCAGCATGAGCTGTTGCCTTAGAAACTGTCCTCAGACTGAGGAAAATTGATTTTTAACGGACTCCGATATGATTTGGGTTAGGGAGGTTATTTTTCCACTACTGTACATAAGTCACAAGCAGCTAGTCACAAACCGAGGTCCCCTTTGTACCGGAGCAAAGCACATGTTTTGCAGTAAAAGCTTGCTGCTATGTGTTTTTAAAGAGTTTACAGTGTTGCAGACGAGGCACATGGCTAACCAGGCTTAAAACAAACACGGATAAAAGGATTATGGACACAGGGCTTTTGTCATCGGAAGTGGAGCTACGAGTACGTGTGGGAATATTTCAATTTCCCATGCTCCGTGTTCGTATACCCTCATGATTACAAACTCTAACTCGGGAGGAATTCAGTGAAATATATTAAATTGATGAGGGATCATGCCTGATGACACATGTAGGCTCCCGCTGGGCCAGACGTTTCTCATAACACACAGCGCACACACACACACTCTCACAGTGATTACAGTGGCCTGTGAAATTAGCAAGCAAGCCTGTAAAAGCAAAACCAAGGGAGGTGTCTATGCTGTAGTTTAATTAGCATTTTACCCCTGTGGTTAAGCCACAGATCATGAGTGCTGGTGAAGGCAGGACTAAAACACTGTCTGCCTTCTTTGTGAGCTGCTGTAGGGATTAGGCTGTAGATGCAGTTGACCAGGGTCAGGGCTCATTCCTCTTCTCACTTCTGCTTTACGAAAAAAGTCACAGTACATTTATATGCTGCAAATATGCTCATTTGCGGCACAATGTTTCTCAATTAGCCACACTATCACAGCACTGTCATATTAAGGTTTCTCTATTGCCGATATTATTTAAGATGCCTGGGAGATATTGCAGCCACTGGCTGTGAAATGAAAAGCGCGTGGCTCCTGTCTCTCATTCTGCAACTAGTGTTCCAAGAGATCAGTTGCTGTGACCACAAAGTACTCAGAGGCCAGCCTGTTGAATGAATGCAAGTTCAGGTGTGGATCTCAGTCTAGTAAACAGCAGTGAGTGAGATTTCTCAGCCACAATTCAGAAAGAATATTTTTGAGATTCAAGCTAGAGTATCAAGTATTCTTCTTTTAATAAGTCAGCCAGTGTGGTGTGCGTCCATCCTAAACATGATGATTCTCTTCTGAAAAGGATGCTTAGTGTTGTAACATCAACAGCTTTGATCGTATTTCAAAGAGGGGCCCGCATATGTTCACTTGGCCAGAGTGTGGTTGGTTGTTTGAGGTGTGGACTCTGCAGGGCTTGTCAGAAGAGCCAACACAGCTGTGAGATTAGAGTGCAGAGAGACACTACAGAGAGACCACATCACATTTCCAACACAAAATAACCAACTCTCACGGTACCCATTATGAATGGAACACGCAGTGGGAAAACAACAAAGAGATTTGACGTTATATTCAACATTGAACTTGTAAGTTGTATATGGACACGATCACTTAAGTCAGCATTAAGACAGATGAACAGCTTGGATGGTAGAAGCTGACTGTCTCTTCTTTGATATGCAATCCATCCGTGCCATGTTTGTGTCACCTCACTGAGCTGAAATACCCACAATCTGCCAGGAAAGTTAAATGAGCAACTTTGATAGAAAATGTAGCCCTCCCATCTTTGCAGCTATAAATTGTGCTGTTGTTTAAGATCTTTGGTAACTGATTTATTTTGTGAACAGTAGGTGTATTTATTTTTGCAATATCCTCACATTTTGCTTGAGCTATGCTGCACACCTTGACTACTTTAATATGCATAATGCAGTGCACCTCTGAAGTACACCCAGAATAAGCTGTGTGGTTTCTCTTCATACTGGAGAAAGATGTTGCTAGATATTTTGTATAACTCTGGTTGCAAAAGTATGCCATCCCATGATAATAACCACATATCCAAATAAAGCTCATAAATCAGTGGGCTAGTTCAGATAGATCAGATGTCTGTCTGGATGTCTGATTTGTGGGAACCAGAAAACACCGGGCTTTGTTTCAAGGTGGAATGATATTGCCTAATTGAGAAATCATCATGGGAAAACCGTTCCTCGTTTAGTATGAAGTTTTTCAGTGTTAGAGTAGAATAAATCAAGCACAGGTTAGGTAGATATGAATAAAAATAATTACTACCACACATGTCCATTTGCATCAATTTCACAAAATACTATTGAAATCAGTTAAGTCAAAAAAGTTTTTCCTCTTTCATCTCTTGCCCTCACAGTCCAAGCTGAATATGGAGAATTTGACCAAGCCAGAGTTGCTGATGCTTTTCAGCATCCTGGAAGGAGAGCTGGAAGCCCGGGACCTTGTCATTGATGCGCTGAAGGTACCGGTCAATGGAGCCCTTAACATAAGTATAATGTTAAAGTGTCTGTTTAGAGCTAGAAAAACAATTTAATGGTGAAAAGTTTTCACAGCAGGGGAAAAGTATCAATGTGTCAGAAGAAATAAACCTTTCAAGCCACTGCTGTAACATATTGCCACAACGCTGCAAGCTTCTTTTTGTAGTTTGCAGGGAGAGCTTCTTACGTTGGTCAAGCTCAAGTCGGGGGGGGGGGGTACCCTGCCACTGCCAGTAACCCTGTTGATAGCAGTCATTTCCTGTGGAAAAAAAGTTAGGTGTGGAAACGACAAAACCATGTATCTGTGAAGCTAAAAGTCCTCTGGATCTAACCAATTTGCTTGCAGCAAACTAGTGTCTGTGCCTCTGGAGAACAGCGTAAATCTCTTGGGGCATTGTCTCATAAGTCATCTTTTCCCCAAGTTTAAAATGAGTAGTAGCATTCTCCCAGTGAATTTGATCAAAAAACCCAATTAGAAGTATCCACAATGTAAAACGCACGCACGCACGCACGCACGCACGCACCTTCCAAGCTTAGGATGTCTTACTTTGCCAGGATTAATGCTGCTTTTTAATTAAAGGATTGTCGGGCTATTCCCACACTGTCCTTTGCTGTGCTGTGTCCTGCAGGCCCTCAAGCTTCCAGTGCCTATTTCGATGGCCTCAAGAGATGTTTGGTCATTTATTCAAACAGTTACACAGTAAGACTGTTACCGTAAGATGCCTGTCCCTTTCTAAAACATTTATACAACACTGCAGACTTCATTCTCACCATTAGCATTTAAGTATTACAGCTTTCACTTTCCTGGTGTAAAATGCACTATTGAAAGTATAAACTGGAGAAGCATCCTGCGAGCTAAAGAGCAGCCATCCAAAAGAGCCTACTGCTGAATGTTCATGTGTTGTGTCTAGACCACATTCCTACATCTCTCCTGGGATCTGGCCATCTAAGGCAAGAAGAGTTACAGCGCACTGGGTTCCTGATGACTCAATGTGAGCGAGGGCAGGAGTGAACAAATAAACAGTGGCCTTAACTGGAGCTTGAGGGGAATATAGCTGTGCTTCTTTCATGGCACAAACTGTTAACCCATTCAGGTCTGGGCTTGGATCAATGCTTCAGTGTTGACGCTTACGGAGCTTTAATTTAGGGTATAATCACTGACCTGTGGGAAATTAATTGCAGGAAGTAAATGAACACTGATCTCTTCTCTGCAGGATACATATTTTTCTAAAAAGGTGAAACATGACTTCATACCTTTCTGCTGTTCTACTGTTAAGAAATAGCAATGTGGAATCTTGGTTCGCGCACTCAATTATCAATTAAACAACACCCCGTAATTTTGTTTTTAGCCATACTAGTGGCATAGCTCTATGCATGGCAGTGTTTTTCTGTTGGTCCACCAATTTTGGTCCACACTGAAATATCTCAAAGTTTGGATGGATTACCATGACATTTTGTACAGATATTTGTATTGCCCAGAGGATTTCTACTTTGGTGATCCCCAGACTTTATTTAGCAGCACCAGCAGGTCAGAGTTTTCACTTATCCAGTAAAGTATCCCCCTGACTTTTACCTGTAGCAACACCATGAAGTTGACATTTGTGGTTTTGAGTGATTGCCATAACATTTGATTCAAACACTCATATTCCCCTCGGATGAATTATAATAACTTGACATCGCTTTTCATCTTGCACCATAATCAGGTCAAAATGTTATTTTGTCCATTACTTTGTTTTATGAACAAATACCTGCTAAAATACTCACATGACATATCCCATCAGCCTCAGATGTACCTTGTGTTTAGTGTTAATTAGCAAATGTTAGCATACATGTGAGCACGTTAACATGCTGACATTAGCATTTTGTTAAAAGCACAGCTGTGTCTAAGTACAGGTTTACAGACCTGCTAGTGTGGTTGTAGTCTGAGTCTAGTTCCAACAATACGATTGCACATGGACCTACAGTAATTAGAAAAGTAGTCATATTGCTCATGTCGTCTTAACTGACGTGTCACTGCTACACTGAGTGTCATGTGAGCCATGTTTAGCTCTACCAAATATCACCATGGTTATAATGCCACTGTTCACTTCTTTGATTTTGCCCTTGCTCATTTTGGTTAAATAGTTTGGGAACTGGGAAGTTTTCATGTTTGGTCGGCATTGTCAGCGTTTCAAAAGTCTATTATTCTTCTCAGTCTTTTTTTTGTTTTTGTTTTTTTGTTTTTTTTATTAAATAGGATATAATGTGAGTAGAGGATGTGAGGTCAATGATGGTCATTTTCTTTAGTCCTTTATATATTTAATTATGCAGAACTATCAATGGCATTCTAACTAGCCGCTGCATTTTTTCCCTTTGTGACTCACTTCTGCAGCTGCTCACGCCGTGGCTTTCAAAAAGGAAGTTGGTCTCTGGCAACGCTTGTATTTGGCACACAAAGCCCTGCAGTAATCCAGTAGTCCCTTTTCTTTGGGAAAGGAATACAAGTCTTTACTTTAAGTTAAAAAGGGGCCTCAAATGTGGAAATGAGCCTTTTAATTTACTGTCAGATTCACATGTTGTGGTTGAGCTTCCAAATGGACATACTTCCAACAGGTTTACCTTGTGTGTTCTTTGGTAATGGGGCAGCACTGAAATAGGGAAAAATAACCTTATTTCTAGCGTCGAGATGCATTAAAAGATTGGATTCAGAGTCAGTTACCGTAACATTGCGTTTCGTGCATGTGATTTTGATATCCATTTCCTTTGCAGAGAATATTACGTGCATGCATGAGAATATCAGGGTATTTAGCAATCTGCCTAAGCCGCTCTGATATATATATAGTACTCTAGTGTAAGACGTTCATATATCACCTTCCCTACAGTATTATACAGATGTTGTCGCCAACATTGCACAATTGTAAGAGTCCAGGCATATGTCAGCAAAAGATAAGCTTGATTGGATCCAGTGCAGCCACAGCACAAAGGCGGCTTCCCAAGCTAAAGCACACAGGTTGCCAAGAACTGTAGCCAACAGACAAAAGCATGAATAATGGAGGCAGACTGTGATGCATAGCAGACATGCTCTGAATGTTTATGGGGATTGTACATGTACAGTATGATGTAATGAGTAAGCTCTGGTAGATTTGGGTGTTAAGTATTAAGTAATGTCAGAAATGTGTTTCCTGTAATCCCTCTTTTCACTTCCTCCACCCTCTCTAACAGCAGTGGAGGATTGATGCAGAGGAAAACAACCTCCCTTTGTGTTGTGGAAGTGCAAGTCTGTGCATTGAAGGGCTGGGGAGGGAGCTGAGAAAGGGACAGAGTCTGTTTATCTGTGAACTTCTGTGTAATGGGGTCCTGTGAATAAAAAAAAAAAGAAAAAAAAAAGAAAAACAGGATTTAAAAGGCCAATTATCCAGATATGGAAATGTGTGCAGACAAAACGTATCTGCTAGAACCCCCCTCCCCTCACACAAAAATAAAATCACAAAAATCTACATTGTGTGTTCTTAAGCATGTTTCTAAATATTTTCCTCCTGTATGAGTAATGGCTCTCAGTTACCTTCTGCAAATGCAGTGATGAAAGTCAGACTGTGTAAATAGGCATTTCTGGAGCAACATGTGTAAGGAATGGAAAACCTGATCTAAGCTTATTTCATTTTTGACCGTAAAGTGACACATCAGAGCAGACAGACATTGAAGGGAACAGGGACGGGCTTTATTCCAACTCTGACACATTAGAGAAAGATGTGATGTTTTTCAAGTCATTTAGATGTGAAAACCTGTATTGTATAAACATAGTGAGGACCATTTGCCACATTCATTAGATTTTCTACATCGCACACAGGACTTTTGTTGAGGTGCTGTGTGGTCATTGGGCTTTAGATAGCGCCCATATTTGACAGGCATTTTTAAATTCTCCTGGGCGTCCTGTGCGTTTTCCTGTTTCACTCCTCCAAGCCGTTTGATCCACCTTCACATCGTCCTCAGTGGACTGGATCAAATAACATTAGGTACAGCCCCCCAGCCTTGCCCTCCTCCTTGTGCTAGATGCGCCAATATTGTTGGAGATGACAATCACGAAGCCTTTAATCTGTTATTCTTTAATCTGTATATTGCTTGTACGTTGGTTCTGTGTCTGTAGCCATCCATTGTCACTCCCTGTATTTTTTCTTCCTCATGTTGCCTTACAAAGCTGCCCATGCTGTCAGGTATACAGATTTTAAATGTGTGAGAAAATACTGGTAACAGATTAGTACTGTGTATCTGCTGATACCCTGAGCTGAGTTTTCAGAATTGGTGCTGGAAGAGAAAACGTTGGCGCGGTCCATCCCCAGCTAAAGTAATCATAGTTCTACTCCAATGAAGTGGGACGGGTTATCGACTGAATATTGCCATACAGGCCCATCCACACTCTTGACTACACTTTAAACCTGTTGAGTAATCTTGGTATCAGTTATCAGGAACTCTGTCCTCACCCTGCCAGAGAGGATACTGTTCTCTGTAATCTCTTGATCCTCTTCTGTTGAAACCTCACTAAAACACACCGCAAGCTCAGCTGTAGCCCTCCTCTTCTTTCTCACTCTCTCATTTCAGCCCAAAGGCATCTGCTGAACCTGAAATGTCTTGCTGCCATTATCCCTCCTTTGTCATGAGTAAAACAGAACAGGTCTGCCTTGGCCAAGGCCCAGTGCAGAGCAGCTGTCCTGCTAAAGATAGACAGACACACCATCTGTTGCTCCTTCCTCATGCTAGCACTCATTCTCTTGTATTTTTATGCATTTCCTCTCCCTCTCTTCCCCTTTATCTACAGCTTATTTACCACGAGAGATGTTAATCATGGTGTGCGGAACACAATGTATGTTAACTAAAGTCCCAACTGCCAGTGTGTAACTATCAAATCATAACAACTTAAAAGTTCAGTGGTGTGGGTGTGTGTTTTTTTTTGATGGAATAATAATACCTGCTTAAGTTCATTGCAACTAGGGTTAGATTTTACCTTGTATAGAAGCGTAATGGACTATCAAATACTATATAATGGTGCTATTCCTAGGGTTAGAAAGAGGTATAAAAAGTGAAGAAGGGTGTACAGCTGTGCTACCATCTCTGGCTGGACTTGCAGCTGGCAAAGGCGATGTGAGCTAAATTCCAACATCAGCATGCAACATGCTCACAATAAGAACGCTAATGTGGTCATGTTTAGTAAATATAACATTTACCAGTTTCAGCATCTTAGTTTAGCATGTTAGCATGCTAACATTTGCTATTTGGCACTAAACACAAAGTATAGCAGAGGCTGATGAATGGCATTAGTTTTGCAGGCATAAACCAAGTGTATTGGACAAATAATACTGTGTAAAACATGGAATGCTGGTACTAAATTTAATGGCATTACAATAGTTGTTGAGATGTCTGGACCAAAGTTTCGGACCAACCCACCAACATTGTCATCCCTACAGCCCCTAACATGGCTAAAAATGTCTCTCTGTATATACACAGGAGTCAGCACACAGTAAGAGCAGGAGCTTAAACAAGAGAAGCCAGAAAAGTGATTCAAGACATGATTCACATACTTCAGCCAAGTTACAATCCTTCTGTAATATTTCCTTCCACATAATCTTTAGACCACAACAATACTGTAACTACTTAATGGGTCACTGTCCCTCTTAGCGCTCCCTCTCACTCTTTCCTTCCCATCACTTCAGGCGCAGTGTAAAGAGCTGTTCATCCAGGAGCGCTATGGCAGGTACAACCTCAGCGACCCCTTCCTGGCCTTGCAGAGGGACAGCGAGGCTGTCGGGGGCCAAAACAAGGACTCGGGCTGTTCCTCCTTCACCTCCAACCCTCTGGTGGTTCTCAAACTGGTGGTGAGCCACTGCAGGAGGATGCAGGAGAAGATGTTGGCCCAGCTGGCTGCAGCAGAGAGCAGGCACAGAAGGGTGGGTATGGATGTGTGGCTTTTAATTAGTGGAGGCAGAAATTAACTGGTTCCTTATCCGGATTTTTTTTTAAAATCAATTGCGAAACATTAAAGATAAAAGCTTGCCTCAATGGTGGAAAATATAAAACAAAAATAAATATGAATGGAAAAGGCAACTAGTAAAGTACAATGAGGATTTTATTTCTTAAAGAGGTGGTATTATGCTCATTTTCAGGTTCAAAATCTTATTTAGGGGTTGTACCAGAACAGGTTTACATGGTTTAATTTTCAAAAAATACCATATTTTTCCTCATACTGCACATTGCAGCAGCTCCTCTTTTCACCCTGTGTGTTGTACGCTCCACTCTTGAGCTACAGAGGGATGCATCTTACTTGTACAAAATCTTTGTTGGGAACTGCGCATGTGCAACTCCCAGGTAAGGACTACTAGCCAATCAGAAGCAGAGAAGGGCAGATTGTAAGAAACAAGATAGTGTGATCCAAATCAAAGCCGCTTCAGACTGAGACCGTAACCTAACAGATGGTATAAGTTACTGAAGTCCACAACCACACAACATCATTGTTCCACATCTTACCATTAGGACTAAACGTTGAACTGTTGCCGGTGTTCTGACGATCTATGCCGATCTATGCTTACCAAAAAATGCTACCATAGCACAAATAGACTTGACTCTACTCGGCTCTGCTCAGTTTTCCACTGCAGATAGTACCCAGAGATAGTACGTAGCTTGTCGTTATAGCAACGCCACACACACACACACACACACAACTGCCACGACGTAATGTTCAATGCAACACACACCAGCGATCCACACAGCTTTCTCTTTAAGTTAAAACGTTTCAACATTACTCAGAATGTAAAGACAGATAAGCGGTATGAAAACCTTCCAGCTGTGTTTTCCTCTGCCGTTGTTACTGCAGCGGTCTGTGTGACGGCGGGAGCAGAGGGCTCTGTGGGCGGGCGGCTGGCCGGCCTCACACGCTCCTCCGCACAGGCTTCCCCCGCCGCCACTTGCGGAGCTCCTCAACTCTGAAAATATTCAAGCATTTTTGTTCCGCCATCACTTCTCCTAAAACTGTCAATATTCGAAATCTACACAGCTGATTTCTCACCTCAAATCTTCTCAGAAGTGGATTTAGTGAAGAAATTCCATACGAAAACTGTAAAATATAAAACTTTGTTGCTGGCCTCTGTCTGCTGCACGCAATGATGATGCAGTGAATAGTGAATATTCTCTCTGACCAATCAGCAGTCTGTCGTGTTTTCGCGTTACATTTCCGTATCTTTCAGCTCACTTGGAACCTGGAAGGAGGTGAGGTAATACGAAAAAAAGTGACCTGACCGCGCTAGCTGCTTGGCAAGTTTTATGACGTGTTTTCATTGTGTCGTCACAAGTAAAGGAAGTGAAAGGCTGGACTACAAACGAGCCGTTTTCAAGCTGTTGAGAGCAGAGCTTTCCGTGGGAGATGGGAACTCCCTTTGGGCTGGACTTTGGACTTTTCCACTTTGCAAACCAGTTACATGCACAAAAAAAGATATATAACTAATCCCTCTTAAGTACCTTTTTTTTTTTTTTTTTACAGCAGCAGAATAACAAATTAAAAACAACATTGTTTTCAGTATGAACTATTTCAATGAGGCACACACACACACACAAAAAGTACTTTGTTAAAGCGCAGGGTAACAGACATGAATAAAAGAAAAAAATACCTGCACAGTGCAAACACACCACTGTATATGAATAATGAAGAAACACCATTGTCTCCTGACGAGTTAAATATATACGCAAGGACAATATGACAAATCTGTGTGATCACAAATTTCTATAATCTAATGTCCATTAGTTTTAAACGAAATACGATACGATATGAGTAACTAGAAGTAGATTTTGAAACTTTGCTGACATCAGCAATATAATGGATTGACCCAATTCCCACGTCAGTATAAAGAGTTTACTATTTTAATACATAAACTATAAAAACATGTCTTTTGCAGAGAAGGATATGAGGCAGAAGGTAAACCTGACTGTATTATATTATACACACTATATAAAACTAAGTTTAATTAGTAATAAAGTACCACTATAATATTTAAATTACTGTTGCAAATAATGGTTCCCATAATGATCTATGTTTTGGAACTGAACAAACAAAGCACTCCATCATCTTAGGCTTTGTAAAACTACAGTGTGAAGACTGTACTTTTCTCTGGAGACGGGGCTGAACATGATACTCACCTAGATGAGCGACACTATGTGGCTGTATGTTAAGCTTAACGGCCATCACCATTTTTGTTTACAATGTAGTAATCATATGGCTTCAAAGTAACCCTTCTTGGCATTTAAGCGCTCATGCAAGATCATTTCACTCCTGACTCTCTGTCTCCCCGCTGTGTTTGCTTCAGGTCATTGCAGATCTGGAGGAGGAAAAGAGGAGGCATGCTGAGGACACGGCAGAGGGAGATGACGTCACTTACATCCTGGAGAAGGAGAGGGAGCGCTTACAACAACAGGTGCCTTCTAATTAATTGTGTTGTGGAATGCACTGCAAATATTATTCCAAAATGTTCTGGATAAATCACATAGGAGTCAATGAGTGATTGATGAATTTTCAACTGGTGTCAAAAGTTTTGGAATAAACTGGAACAATCCACATCAGAGACAATACAATGTGTACTACTTCTGACAAGTGTGTTTATTGTGGGTCTCGTCTCGGTAGCTGGAATTTGAGCGGAGCCAGGTCCGGCGGTTGGAAAAAGAACAGCGGCGGATTACTGACCAGCTAGAAGAAGAACGGGCTCAGCACAAACAGCTCTCCTGTGCTTTGGCCAAAGAGTGCAAGTGGGCAAGTGCCAGGGCTCTGGAGGAGGGGCACCGCCTGACTGAGCTGAACCGCAAACTTGACAAGGTACGAACATTTTCAGTTCCAACTTTAGTCAATAAATTTCCTTTTGTTCTTATGAACGTTAGTCCTGCTTATATTTTGCACCCGGCATAAACTAACTTTTTCCTCATGCAGGAAAAGGAAGCTTGTCAGGCCCTGAGACAGGAGCTGGAGGATGAGAGGAGGAGAGCCCTGAGAATGGAGGCGAGGGTGGAGGAGCAGCTGGCCGAGTTCGACACGGAGCGAGAGCAGCTCCGCTCACGTTTGAAGAAGGAAGAAGCTCACCGTTGTCAACTACAACAACAGGTGGGAACACACACATTCGTTGTGCAGGTGGCAATAGATTGCACATTTTGTATACTATTACTACCTCAAGTTATTTCATCTAATGTTAGTGCAAGAGCAGAAAATTAGCTTGTATTGTGCAGCAAAATCTCAGCTTGAAACAAATCTATTTTGCCCATTTTGTGATCAGGTGGAGGAGCTGAAGAGGAAGATGGAGGAGGCGAATGTGATGAGCGTTGTTAGTGAAGTAGTTACAGCTCCAGTGGAGGCAGGAGAGGAGTGGGCCACAAAAGTTCCATCAGGAAAGACAGCAATAGACACTATAAATGTCAAGGACATTGAGGAAGACAGAAACCAGGGGCCTGAGGTCAATGGTCACCACTGTCTAATGGAGAGCAATGGGCACCATGGTCTAAATAACGCCCTCTCAGAGAAGATCTGCCTACAGAATGGAATGGATGAAAGTTCTCCAATTTATCAGACCCATACATCAATCACCTGCAGCGGTGCCCCCTCCACTCTCCCCCCTTCCTCCCCATGCACCTCACCTGTCCTTGCCAAACGCTCACCAGGCAGCCCGAGCCCTGGTAGCTACCAGTCTCCCTACCAGGCAGGGATCAACCAGCGCTTCCATGCTGCTCGTCACAAGTTCCAGGGTACCAATGACCTAGAGCCTCAGCCACAGGCCGCGCAGCCTCACCTCTCGCCAAAGGAAGTCCCCCCTTTGACCAGCAGCTCCTCCCTAGAGGCGAGCCCAGTCAAGCAGATGGCCCGGAGCACAGTCACTCAAGTCCTGTCTCGCTTCACCACCGTCCAGCAGAGTGTCGCACCGAAGCTCGCGGCACCGAACAATTCGCCCTTCGGCACAGACTACCGCAGCCTGGCGGCGCCCTTGTCTCCGATCATCGCAAGGGCTGCAGGAGCACTTTCACAGGGGATCAGATCACCAACCATCCCCAGGGCAGACAGGGGTAACCCTCCACCCATCCCCCCTAAGAAGCCTGGTCTAGCCCAGGCCCCTCACTCCCCGGCCGCAGTGCCCAGATCTGCCAGCCATTTGTCTGACAGCCCCCTCTCTGGCAGCTGTGGCCTCACCTCGAGCCAGGAGGGAGTGAAAGAACTGGACATGGTGGTTTCTTCTAATTAACTGATTTGATTTGTCAATAAATTAGTCAGCTGCTGCTCTGCTTGATGGTTTAATCCACATCTCATGATTATGATTTAGATATTGTTTTGTACATGACAGGATGTATATCCTGTGCTTATTTGAACAGAGGTCCCTTCAAACACTGTTTCTGTAATTGTATTTATTAGATTTTGTTTTAAATAAGCGCTGAGGCACTATTTTAGGTAGTGATTTAGAGGCTGGTGCTAATGAGCATTTACAACTGGTCATTTTAGTTTCAAATGTGCCAATACTGTATGCTGGATGCACCGTACTGTTACAGTATATCAAGTCTTTTATGGCGTCATCTTTCTAAAGAATACAAATCAGTTCATTCCGTGAGGTATAATTTCTTTCCTCAAGTGTGTTGCTGTGATCTTCAGACCAAATGTAATTAGTAGACCTTGGACCAGTGTTAGTTACGCATTTCATTGTGCATAGCTGTTTTTATAAAAATGTATAGTTCATTTTATAAATGTTCCTTAGTTATGATACACAACAGATAATCTAATCAGTGTCATACTGATCTTTGTTCATGTATTACTTTAATGTTGCATAGTAATGATAATCTTTCTCAGATTATATGCAAGAACCATTGTACAATATCTTGTTTAAGATGAATGATTCTGATGAATGTCATGCCTACGTCATTTATAAGACACCGTTATAAAACAAGTATTCAACATGGCTTTAATTAATATAACAACTGCTGTGTGGTCTGGTTGTCTCTACTTTCATCAGATCAGTTGCAGTGCTGTATATGCTGGAAAGTTACAGGTTTAATAAATTAATCCCAAAGATTGTCATGTATTAATTTCTTTATTCAAACTGTCAGGAATTATAAATTGCCTGTAGAGAGTTATGTTGGTATGAAAGCCAATAATAGTACTAATCTAATGCGGGAAAGCTGCTTACAGCGTAGGGTTGCAACTAACCATTATTAGCTGATCTGCTCATTATTTTCTTGATTAATCGTTTGGTTTATAATATGTCAGAAAAAACTGAAAGATGCCTTATTTGAAATGTGCTAAACCCAAACATATTCAGTTTAAGACAAAAAGTTACTGATTTAATCTGTATTGTATTTTAGACTTATACCTTGTCCGATCAACTAAGATTCAAGGCATTAGAAAATGGTACTAATAACTAAGATTTTGCCCTGCGTCGGATGTCATGTATAATCAATAGATATTGTAACACTATAAGTTTTTGGCCAAGAAAGGAAAGTGTAACTATTAAATTATCTCTTTCAAATTAATAAATGCAGTTTAACAAAAAATGTATAGGCAGCTTTTGTTTCAATAGCTCACCTGCAGATAATGATTTACATACTTAAGACAGCTTTGTTTATTTTTTCCATATAGTATTTTTCAGTAGGGCTGTAGTGTTTTTAGTACTGTACTGCCAAAGTGTCCTCTAGAGGTCATTGTTTGATAAGTAGCTACACTGAGTAGCTTACAGCAGGCTGGGAAATAAAAAGATAATTTAATTATTATTCAGATACTTCACATCTAGCACTGTTTCTCTTTCTCACATACAGATTTTTCATTATATTTGGTTGATTGTATCGATGTACTTGAACTGTTGCCACCATAAAAAGATAGCTGTAAAAATGCAGCAATAAGTAAGTAATAAGCCAAAGAATAATCTTTTTGCTCCCAATTTGGTTGCAAAGACAAGTTATGAAACCCTTTTGAGGACTGAATGGTTTGTTATTTTGCACACTGTGTTGCCTCAACTGTAAACAGTGCTCTTGAGGTATGTTGTTTAAGTGACGCAACATGTGAGATGGGGAGTTTGCAATTGCACAAGTACACAGAAAATACAGAGACGCTTGAGAAATATCTTCTGTGTTCTATAATGTCACTCTATATATGAGCACACACTGACTGGGCTTTCTGTCACACTAAATCCCCCTCTTGGTTGTTGGGGAATGGTTGGCTGGTTAACGGGACGGGTCACCTCTTCCCTGCTCAGCTCACCTAATTAACATTCCAGCGTAGGACAGCAGGGCCGCATCCCAAATCCAGCACAGGCATGCCTGGTCCTCCAGCAAAGCCCCATCTTTCTCAGCCTCCATAAACACAAGCTCAGACTGACGAGCTGTGAGGGGCCACATCCTCGCTGCCGTCACTGCCAGCATGGCTGCTCACCCTGCTCCACTGTGGTCCTCAACCCACAACACTGAGCAGAAGACATAATAGTCTATACTGTAAAAGCTCGTGTAATCTTTGTGAGAAGTTGAAAGCTTGTACAGTACACATATTCTGGGTTTGTCTTTGATTATTACTTAATGCCTCACTTTCAAAACTTGGATGTCTTACACAATGGCGTGACCTGAAATATCTTTGTATGCATAAATATTCAAACCCCGACTCAATATTCAGGCTTTGGGCTGCATGACTTGGATAAAAAACTATGCACTTTATTCAAGCTATGAGTCATAACCCAAAATGGCTCTCTTTCTGTTAGGATTCCGCATGACAAGATGGGTAATAAGTAACCCCCCCAATAAATCTCAGAGCAGTAGATTACATTTCTTTCCCAGTGGCAAATCCTTTTTCCTAGAGTGGACGCGAAAATTCTTATGAAGATTTGTTGAAACTTTTCTCTGTAAGGTTGTGCGAGAAACGTGATAAAGCACTATACAGCATACAGTATAAATAAATGAACTTTAACTTGAAAAAGGATTGCTGCAGCCACATGTCGCTCCTGGGCAGATCTGGTAAGTGATGCATTTTATGACTATGGTGCACAAAAGCAGACATACAATGAGACAAGTGGTCTCATGGCTGCAGTGTCATGTTATGTGAAGTAGATAAAACTGAGGTCAAGGAGGGATCTGTCATGAGTTAAACCTCAAATTTACAACCTTCCCATTTGACCTGCTGCACAAAAGCAAAATGCAGTCTGTCTAGTCTCCTGCCTGTGTCAGTGATGACTGCTGTCACTGCGCTTGTCCCTCAACAATGTCATAATCAATGTCATCCGTGCTTGCAGCTTGTAGTTGTCCAACCTCCTCCTTATCCTGTTGCTCTATTCCTTTTCTCCCTGTCGTGGCCTCTTCTGTCCAAAATTAGCCCAGGCCATGAGATGAGTCTAAAATAGGAGCTCAGGCCCCCACGCTGAGCCTCTTAAAGACCACAGCTGGAGCTGGCTCAAAGCGAGACAGAAGGAGAGGGAGGCGACGGATGACGAGCGTTAACGCCACCATCACCTGCTCCCTGTAAAGCAATTTGTTACGGAGTTGTCACTGTAAAATCCATAGCTTGTCCTGGAGTAAAGAAAGACAGGGTCACATGTAATGAGGATCCAAGTGTCGCTCTAAATCCAGATACGACATAACTGAAGGACAAACAGCTGGGCTATGTGTGCGTTTGCGTGTGTGTGTGATGTAGAATAAGAGGGGAGAGAGTCCAGTGACAGACAGAACACAGGCTTGCAGTTAACAAAACTTTATTTACAGCAAAGCACACAAAGTCATGTGCATTTGTTTGTTATTTTGGAAAAGTTACAACCCCCCCCACCCCAAGAATGTTAAGCCTGATAAGAAAATGTGTAATTCATAAAATCCTAAATCAAACTCAAGTCTACATTCACAAACGTACCATTACATTCGCTGTGGTATTTTTAGGCAGCTGCATTGTTACTGACCTTTATGTAGGTGTCTAACTAACACCCCTGGATTTGCACTGATTAAAATGACCTCACACTCTGACACACACATACTGTGTGCTCAGAGTCTCGTCAGTGCCTCTCTCTACCTGCTGGACGTGCACGGCGCGGCGAGTGCCTCACTGAAGTCGCAGGGATACGAGCCAGAAATGTCCTTGAGGTGGGTCATATGTTTCCACATTGGCTCGATGAGACAAACCTCTTTCTGGATCGGGACTGTTGATGGGAGCTGAACTACAAACATGCACTCCGCTGGCATTACAGGAGGGGTTCAAGTGCTTGGAGCTGGCGGTAAGACATTAACTGTCCTACCATGAGTCATATGGCACGGAGGGAACTTTTTAGAAGTTATTAATCATTTTCTAACAGAAAAGGACTATACTGGGCCCCATACCAAACTTGGAGAAACTACAGCACATGGCAGACATAAGCACTCAACTACCGTGCAAATGTTAGAGGCTATTTCTACTGGATGTGGAAGTGTCTCTTCAAACCAGTGATAAGGGACCTAAGTCTAGTGTGACACAAAATAATTACAAGGCCAAAGTATTTTCTCTTGTCAAACTATTTTGCGCAATATACTTGTTTATACAGTATCTTCCAGTCCAATTTAATTCTGAGCTTTGACATAGACTCTTCTGTCTTCTGGGCTGTCATCACAACCTGACCTCTTTTCTTCTCTCCCTCTGCGTGAATGGCATCCTTGAGTTCAGCCTCCCGTGTAGTCCTCGTTCCAGACTTTTGTGGTAGAGAGGAGGTTGTGTGCTTCAAGTCCCACCAGTTTTGGTGGCACCTAGAAATTGCATGACTTCTTTCCACATACGTATATATTGTGTTATCAGTCTATTTAGCTAATATTGTCACTCTGTTTCTTCATAGTGCAATTTCGCTTGAAATATTCCCATCTTTTTTGTATGTTACATCTATTGTCTGCCTGTCCTGGAAGAGGAATCTGACTAATATTTCAACTATCTGATGAACCCTTTGGGCAGCTTTTCAGGAAACAAGATTCATTTTTGGACAGAAGTCTGTGCACACTACAATGGTGAAACTGCCTTTGAATGGGTTTCTCAAACCTGGGCTCATCCCAGTAAAAAAAATTTAATAAAATTACAAATTAAGAGGTTTTCATGCTGCAAGCAAAGAGGTTTTGGTGTGTTTAATCCTTTATATACAATCTATGGTTTAATCACACTGGACCAGCAGGCATATGAAAATGCCCCCTGGGAAGGATTACCCATCTCTATGGAGACACCAAGTTCCTGTTTAATGGTGTGTCAAAGCATGAAAGCTTGACCCCTCATAGCTGAAGTTTCCCAAGCAAAACTTTCTCCAGACACTGACGACACAAACGGACAGCTGCATACTTTTTAATTCATCGGAAACAACAATGTTTTGTCTAATCATATTATTATGGTCTGGCTATTGGCTATATAAATAAAACTGGCCCAACTATTTTTAATAATCTTTGTGAATAAATTATATATTTAACATGGTTGCCACAGGAGGCTTTGCGGTTCAGTTGCATAGCTTCAAAAAATTAGGTGTGTTGTAACACAGTCCTCAATGTTTTTAAACTCAGAGGCTGTAAATGTTCATTTTGAAAAAGGTGGTTTTAGTGAAGAAATTAACCTAAAACGCTTATAGACAAATTTCTTTAGAATGTTAAATTTTTGAGAACTACTCATAATAAACACAGGCCAACAGGTCCATGGGGAAATATTGCACATTGCTACTAGATATACTGTGACATGATAGTTTAGTGCAGTCACATTCTCACTTCCCCAAATGGAATCGTTACTATTACAGTATTGTGCAGGGCTGTGTTTTAATGGCTGTTCTTCTGAAGTGGTAAAACGTTGGATGCGGCAGGTAGCCTATCTGCTTTCCATCAAACTAAATATATATTGTAGCCTACGCATCTCCCTCTGTTGGTCCACATACCGCTGTTTGTAATTTCCTGACAAAGGGGTGGGGGTGGAGGGACAGCTGACGCACCGCAGCAGAGCGCTGCGCGTTTCGGTGCGCATCTTCATTCCCGCGGCTTCAGGAGGAAAGGTGCGCACAGTTTCTCTCCCATTCTCGGAAATAGTTCCTCCGTTCGACTCGTATCTGATTTAAGCGACTTTTCCCGCTGCTATGTTACCGCCGCGGATGTTGTGCTTTGAAACAGCTTTTAGTGACATGAATTTCGGTGCGCTGAGGAGAAAAGGTGAATTTATCCAAGAATGTTAGAGGCATCTGAGACGGAGGGCTCACTCATTAATTACAATCTCCGACGCCAATGAAGATTATGGATGTACTGACAGAAAATCTGCATGGCATTATTAAACTAGCAGCGGTTAACTGATGGAGTTTAAAACCACATGTCCTCTTTTTTAAATTCTTAAAGTTCCCCAATGATGGACGGCAGGCAATCAACAAGGACTTTCACAGCTGATTGTGCAGCTTTTGCCAACACATGAAAAGGAAGAAACATGTTTTGTCTGTTGAAATCTCGGAGTTTATCAGACAGCAGCACGGCTATGGGGATCAGAAAAACCACCTCTAAAATATACTTCTATTTTATTTTGCTCCTGCTCATTTTCACACCTAGAGTGGATTCATCGTGGTGGTGAGTGAGATCTCTGCCGTGCTTTTGCTGACATTTAGATCAATAACTTAATTTTATTTACTTTAAAAACTATTTTGATTGATGTATTAGTTAATTAGATAGACACAAAACGAATAGCTGTAAAGTTACAAATATATAGGCTATTAAAAAAAAAGTTCTGATGAAAACATGACTAAACCAAAACCTAAATTTTTCACTGAAGTTAACTCATTTATGGTTATGTTTTCCTCTGTCAGGTATAAAGGTGGGAAATGCTTTGGTGAAAAAGACAACAAAAAGATAAAAGATTTCTTCTGCTTATTTGATCTAAAACGTTCATCTGGATGATGTCATTCTATAGATTATGTTTTTTTTGCCAAACCTAGAGAAAACAACTTTGTTTATCTCCATACTTTAAAAAAAATGTGGCAATGGGACTCTTTCATCTTAGTTCACCTCTGCCTGGGAATTTTTGTGCTGAAGTTAATTATAAAAAGAAAACAAAAAAAAACATCAATGCAATGTGTCCTGTGTTTATGAAGATTAATGGTATTGGGGGGGGATCTCCCCTATCCATCCATCTTGCCCAGAGTAAGTGGCAGGTGCAGGCGCTGGTGCATGAATAAATGCCCCTTGATGATTTCTCTTGAGGTTTGAAATGCTCAGGAGGGGGAAGAAAATATGCAAGGTTACAAGCGCCCCCCCTCATATCACCCACCTGAAATAGTCACACGTGTCAGGTCACACTTACAGAAATTGTATTTGATGTGTACTTTCTATTTAACTAACCACAGTGAAGCAGACCTAATTCTACATTTTCTTCCTGAATGTTTGAATTATGGCCCTGCACTCCACAACAATTAGACTCTGTTTTACAGATGGATTTAGATTAAAAATGCGCCCTTTGTAAATAATTTTATGAATTGTAATTTCCCAAGACAGCCAAAACTGTGTAATCCCTTTGCTGTCTTATGCAAAAACTGATTAAATTGCTGAGAAAGACCAGAGAAAGAGAGAGCGACACAGAGCAGGAGATGCTTGGAAGCTCTGCGTCCAGATGATTCATACTTATTTAATCCTGGTTTGTATTGTTAGGGCCTATTTTTAACCAGTGCGATAATTCAGATGAGCACCATGTGTCCTGCTGCACAGGACCCCATTCCCTCTCTCTATGTGTGTGTCCTCTTGGAGACAGTCAAGGGGTCTTTTGGCACAGCCGGTATGTACAACATACAAACAAGTAGTGCTTCTGCTCTGCTTTACTCCTCAGGCAGATGGTTGCAGTTAGAACGGGACTTGGACAGCCATAACGGGAGTGGAAACTGCCTGCTACGCCCTTTTCTGTCTCAGTGGCCAGGCGACACAAATGTGGCCACGATTAGAGACTATAATGATATCCGGATGGAGAGTGGAGCGTGCAAGCTTGGGGGTGGGGGGGGGGGGGGTGCATATGGTTGGTCTGTGAGGCAGGGCCTGGGCGGTCACTTACACTGTAGATGACTGTCCTTATGTCCTGTTGATAAGAGGACCCCCCCCCCCCGTGTCACTACACCACCACCGTGTGATCTGCTCTTCTATGAGTTGTTACAAAGTAAGGGATTATGTCTGAATAGAGCAGGAGGCAAAGGCCTGTCACAGGGAAAGAGGTGCTTTTCACTGAACGTGAGGAATTTAATAATCTCCTTTACATCCAGAAGATCTACACCTCAAGCTGACAAGGGGTATGGACGCAATGAAGGCTATAAAAAAAAATTAAATAAAAAATGGGCACACACACTAGTAGGAAACAATCTAGCAACATTTTTGGGAAATACTTTGGCTTATTTGCTTTCTTGTCCATATAGTTTGGTAAGATTGAAGCCATTCTTTTGAATGCACACAAAATATGAATCTACAAACAGCAGCTAGCTAACTTAGCTTAGTATAAAGACTGGAAACAAGGGGAACTGGGCAACTGGTCACAACCAAGATAGTCCAGTTTATAACCCCCCCACCCCCATTAAGTAATAACAAATTTTTACACTTACTCTATGGATTTAACTAACAAAATATTATGTTTTAATGAGTGTGCTTTTGAATAAGCATAATAACCAAAATGTCAAACTGTTTGTTTTCCCGTTGTGTCTGTTCTGCTGACATTGCATGAATGCCACATAAGACCCTGACGACATCAAGGGTTATTTTCTCTGATTTGGCAAACTTCCTGCAGAGCCACAAAAGACAATATACTAAACTTTACCCAGACTAAGTGGTAGTCCCTCATGATGACAAACTTTAAGTTGGTGAAGTGCCCCTTTAACTTATCATGAACACTGTGTTGGATCTGTGCCTGCAGGTACATCGGAGCGCTGGGAGCTCGGGTGATCTGCGACAACATTCCCGGCCTGGTGAACAAGCAGCGGCAGCTGTGCCAGCGACACCCGGACCTGATGCAGTCCATCGGTGAGGGAGCCAAAGAGTGGATAAAAGAGTGCCAGCACCAGTTCAGACACCACCGCTGGAACTGCAGCACGCTGGACCGGGACCACACTGTGTTTGGCAGGGTGATGCTGCGAAGTGAGTCTGCACATGTGGGCTTTCTATCTGTGCGGTTCTTTGTCTGTGCGTGACAGTGGTTGTTTACGTCAGCTGCACTCGAGTTAATCATCCTCGTAAATGTCTCCGCTGTTACCAGATAAGCAGAGAATTAATAGGTGTCTTATTAAATCAACTTTGTCCTAGAATACAAATAGAAAGAGAAAGTGTTGTGGGTTTTTCTTTTACCTTCTCCAGAATGAGGGAAGATTGGGAAAGTGGATATTCTCTGAAAACAAGTAGCAGATCACCACACTGGTGATGTATAAACAGTAATAGGAGATGTAAATATTTGGGTAGATGTTTCTGGCAGCCAGACAAAGCTTTACTCCCTGACATATCGCCTGTGTTCTGCTTCATTGCGTGAGCAGGAATGAGGACGGGAGGTGTGTGGGAAAGCCAGACCAAATAACCCTCAAAATCTCCTCTTGTCAGAAATGAAAACACAGCCCAGTGACTGAGAAAGCTGCCATCTGTGCAAATTAAAAAGGTGAAAGGAGAGTCGGCTGGAGTGTGATGTTATAGCTGATGTGCTGCTACCTCTGTCTCGACCATCCACCATAAATGGACTGATTCTGTGCTCCTGCTGCCTGGAATATACTGGAGAAAGGCTGCTTTACTGAGCAGTAATACAGTGGAACTAGAAGAACAGTGTGAATCTTACCAAAGAAGACTAGTAAAACAATTGTGGTGTGGTTTCAAACAACGTTTACAACACAGCCATTTATCACAGAAAAGTAGCAGTGAAAACTATTCCATTGACAATACTACATTATTTTCTGAAAGATTTAATTGCAACACCTGTCTTTCCTGTGTGCCCAGGCAGCCGCGAGGCAGCATTCGTGTATGCCATCTCTTCAGCAGGAGTGGTCTACGCCATTACCAGGGCCTGCAGTCAGGGGGAGCTAAAGATCTGCAACTGTGACAGCCATAAACGAGGGCGAGCCAGCGATGACAGAGGCAATTTCGACTGGGGCGGATGTAGCGACAACATCAACTACGGCATAAAATTTGCCAAGGCCTTCGTAGATGCTCGAGAGAGGATGGTGAAAGATGCTCGTGCACTGATGAACCTTCACAACAACCGGTGCGGTCGTATGGTGAGCAGCACCTTTAATGTTACTACTCGAGCTTTAGTACTACTCCAGTGTTGCAGCTGACTTAAGAGACTATGATGAGACAAAGATCACTTATTTATGCATTTAAACATAACATTTTATTTCAAGTAGGCTTGGGCAATCCCTGTTTTGTTTGTTTTAGATCATTTATGGTAGCAATCTTGCAAATGAAACTTTATAGCCACTTAGGCATTAAGGATCTTGGACTTAGCTAATGGAGTTAAGAGTATGTAGGCCTAGTAATTAGTGTTACAGCTCATTGCGTTGATGAAGACTGAGATCTTGCTGAAAGCTCTGGGAAACGCTAGTCAGTTGTCTTTTGTCAGGAATTTATTTTACTGGATTAGACAAAAATAGACATTCCAAACAGGTTGTTTTATCTGTATCTCAATAAGGGCTGCAACTAACGATTATTTTCATGAATCCGTCAATTATTTTTCTCAATTAATCAATGATCTTGAATCAATTGGTGTACAAAACCTCAGAAAAATGCCCATTACAATCTCTTAATAATGTATTTAAATGTCTTGTTTTGTCCAACTAACAGTTTAAAATTTAAACATAATCAGTTTGCAACTTTTGTTAACCGATTAAGCCATTTTCCAAGCAGAGTTTTATTAACTATCAGTCAATCGACTAATTATTGCAGCTTCAATCTTATCAATTTCCACAAAATGTACTATTTCACAACATATATTAATATTGCAATAAAATTAAATATACAATGACAGAAATTTTTTTCAATGTATCCCAACAATAATCTTAAGCGTTGAGTAAAGTGAGACATGAGTAAAATATCCTTCTGGATTTTTGAAAAGGCATCACTCCTGGCAACAGGCCACAGAGTGGGATCAAATATCCCACACAGCATTACATTAAGAATTTAGTTTTATCAGTAGATTTAGTTTTAGGTTCTCCACCGACAAGATGGTTGTTTCACAGTCTCTTGAGGAACAAAAATTAAAGGCAAATCCAGTAAGAGTGCATATTATTTAGCTAGCAACTATGCTAGCAGGGCAGATCACGCCTACATCATGCCATGGGCAAAATCACAGGCTTAACACCCTGTCACCTTTGACCTCCGCTTTAGGCAGTGAAGCGCTTTATGAAGCTGGAGTGCAAGTGTCACGGGGTCAGTGGCTCCTGTTCTCTGAGAACCTGCTGGCTGGCCATGTCCGACTTCAGGCGGACTGGAGACTACCTTCGGAAGAAGTACAACACAGCCACCGAGGTGACCATGAACCAGGACGGGACCGGTTTCATGGTGGCTGACAAGGACTTCAAGGGAAGCACCAAGAACGAGTTGGTGTATGTCGAGAACTCGCCAGATTACTGTCTCATGGACCGCACAGCAGGTGAGTGAACAAATGAAGAATCAATTTGTCACTAAGAGGGGTGATTGGGTCTTTATGGGCTCTTTGCAAAGAGTGAACATTTGTATTTATACTTTAGATGTACACAGTTAAATAGAGGGACATAAAGACTGTAGACAAAGGATGGCTATAACTGGTCCATGCTCTTTTTCACTTTGAATCATGAGGGAAAGTTCCCCAATCACACACACCACAAAATATTCCTATTTTTTCAGCCATTTAACAAATATGTATCTGCCCGTATTAATTTTTTAATTGATTGATCGAGCTCTACTTTGAGATTACTACAACAATTCTGCCACCACCCAAATACACTAAAGGTCATCAGCATTTGGCTTGTGGCCCAAATGTTGGCCCAATGACAACCTCTCTTAACACATGATGTCCCAGGTCACACCTAGCTATGAACATTAAAAACAATTCGTATTGTATGGTGTAAAAATTTTAACTTGGCTGTTGTCTGATTAGAGCTCTCTGCAAGCTGCTGCCTGTTCCTCGCTGAAGATCCTTTGTGACGGAAGAACAGAGTGATATTTCTTCCCTATTCACCACCGCATCATTTTCAGGAGTTGCATTCTCCAACTTTCATTTCATATTATATGAATAGTTTAAGCTAAACGTTAGTTTTGAACAATATGAATCACGAATTTCAGTATTTGGATCAAGAAGTTAGTAAAAAAATAATGTTAGATTTATTACAGATGTTTTTTCAATTTGTCAGATACATATTTAATGAGCATTTAGGTAAACAAAAAGATTCAGACTCTGTAGATACCCAATATTGAAAAAAGGACTCCGATCCGGACATCCTTAGTATGTGGAATATTTCATTATTTTAGCCTGTGTTAATTTAATAATTTTGATTATTGTTTGAGTATATTGTTATGAGACAAGTTAAACAGGTAGTTGGTCCTTTGTCAGTTTTTCAAAATCTTTGAGAATCAGAGACCCGTCCACTGAAGGCTTGCATTCCTCCACAGCTTAAAGTTCAACGATTTGACCTTTAACATCTCATTTAATTCCTGGTGTTTGCTTTGCTTTGTTAAACTCTGTCACTCTCCTCCAATCCAACCCCTTCAATAGAGCGTGAAGGAGTTCACTAACTCACTGTTAATAGGTTAGGTAAGATATAGCACAGTGCACATGTGGAGGGGACATTATGTTATGAACTTCTCCCACTCCTCTTTGCTGTTAGCTTGGTTGCAGCTTGACAACTGAGCAGTAGCGAAGGTGTGCTCACGCCAAGGAAAGGCTGGCTTTCCTTGTTAAAAGGCGATCTTAAAATAAGCTTATGACCCTCCTCGCCACTAATCTCCATTGTATAGGAATGCACAGCCTAAGGATACATGCAGGCTTATTTTTCAAATCCTTCCTTTGGTCAGTATTAAGCTCCACTCCCTAGAGCCTGAGGGGAATATCTTCTCTTATCCTTTTTGCTTTACTTCAGCGATTCTCTGTCATTAGATGTGGCATCTGATCTTAGGCTTAGATCTTACACCTGAGTACATGGCCACCTTTGTGTTTAGGTCTCTTCTGTCAGCGTGTCTGGAAGCAAATACCCTGCTACCCTGCCTTACCAAGTGTGGGAAAAGTGATATTTTATTTTGGAAAAATAGTTTCAGTTTTCAGCATGAGTGGTCAAGTGCCAAAAGGGGTTGTGGACATCCACAGTATGTCGTCACTTGAGGTTTTCCAAAATGGAATTAAGTTGAGGTGATAGGGTGCATGTCGCTCCTACCTATTACCTATTATCAACCTTATTTCCAGCAGCAGCATGCATCCGTTTTCAGACCAACAGCACAGTATCCGACCAATACCAGACAGAGGACACACAAAGTTTCCAAGTAGCTAGTGAACATTTAGAGGATCTCAGCTCTTGTACTGTTTTGTGAAAGCAATGCTATCCTACAGAATTTTAAATCTTTGTCATGTAACAAAAAAAGTTTTCATAAAAAAACAAAACCAAAAAAAAACTACCCTAATAGTGATTTCATTTATTCATCATATCATATTTTCTTATGTTTGCTTAATTAGTTTTGAGGGGGTTAAGTTTAAGTGAAATTGTTGGTTAACGTTTATTTAAAATAAATTAGTATAAATAAATAAGATAAGAAGAATGTTATAGTTTGTCTTTTGTAAAAGTTTTTACAAACATTTTTTAAGAATACAAAAAAAATCATAAATATAACTGACAAGAACATTTCTTTACAGGCTCCTTGGGGACAGCAGGCAGAGTGTGCAACAAGTCCTCCAGAGGCACAGACGGCTGTGAGGTCATGTGCTGTGGGCGGGGCTATGACACTATGCGTGTCAAGCGTGTCACCAAGTGCGAGTGCAAATTCAAGTGGTGCTGCGCCGTGGAGTGCAAAGACTGCGAGGACGTGGTGGACGTTCACACCTGCAAGCCCCACAAGCGACCAGATTGGCTGGACATAACCTAATGAGGAGACCTGACCAATCAAAGTCACCACTGACTCATTAACCTGTGCGCTAATGACTGCATTTTATTATGGGATAAATAATAATTGGGATCTCTTTACTGTATTACCCCCTGGCTCCTCCTTTGAAACTTCCTGAAGCAGAGACTTCACAGACCTTGATGCTAAACTGGAAATTAGGCCCAGTTACTGATTGTGTGCTGCTTTAATTAGTGTTTCTAAGAACAATTTATTGAGCTTTTTTAATACAAACTTTGGATCTTTGATACAAAATGGCTGAATATTATATTTTCTGTTAACGCACCCTTCGTTGAGGCAGCGATATTAAGTAATGTCTGCTTGTTTTACAATATGTAAAGACTGTTTGAGCACATGACATACGTAGCTCAAGTTGATGATAATAGTAATATTTAGCCTGGAGAGAGAGAAAGAAAGAAAAGAGGGATCTGTTTTGAGATATTGTAAAAACACTGACACTGTATCATTTAAAATGATATCCAGACATTATATGGTACTGAAGTGAATCATTGAAAATACAAATGACAGTTGCTGCTAGTTAGTGCAACTCTAACAAACTAACAGAAAGTCAGAGGGAGCTTATGAAAAAAAGTTCATACTCGAAAAAGGACAGACAATCACACTGTGAACCCAAATGCACCGCAAACACAAGAACAAGCAAGGACTTTCAGTTCAAGTTGCGGCATACTCGCTGCAGAGCTGAATTTTGGCAGGTTCTTGGGAGAAAACGGACACAACAATTAAGCTTCATATGGATTTTCCATACAGTTTGACCGTAAAGGGTCTAAGACATTCTGTCTGAGTTGCCCTATGGACAACTTTGTCATTTCTACCTCTGTTTCCTCGTTTCATTTTTTTCTGCAGTGCTACACCGAAAGCTTCAAGCTATTGTCCTTAGCCGTTTTCAGACAGCCAAGAGCTCTGCGTGAAAAAAAGTGTTTTTTTTAAACCCTCATTCTTTTCAATTTGGCTACTGTGGCAAAAGTTGTTGAAAATGTTGAATCTGGCTGAAGTTTTTAAGCAAGGCACTGTGCAGGCCAATCAAATACATTAAAGTGCGCATTCAATGTGAATGCTGAAATTCTACCGTTCACCTGATGATCGTCATGAAAGAGGATGAAATGATTTTTGACATCATGACTTTGAAAGTAGTCATATCCAGTGTCAATAGTATTGCACTGCTGTGCAGTGATGTGTGATACGCATTCAAAATCATGGATTTATTAGTTAAAACTACTTATATCATCTGTACCTTAAACAAAGGTAAATGTGTTTTCCCTGGCTGCTGCTTAGTCTCGGTTTGCAAACAAGCTTTACTGATCTGAAAAACCCCCAACAACAATCTGTTCTGTTGTAATGAAGGCTCGAGATGTCAGTAATTGATGGTGGTACATAACTAGCCTCACCTTCATTTCTGCCAGCTTTAATGTACAACAGCTCTGTGTCACTCACAGTTTACACTGCTGTTAATGCAATGCTACTTCCCTCAAACTAGAAGGCCTTAGAGTGTGAAGTGTCACGACATTTATATGCTGCTATAGTTTCATATATCCTTAATAAAACTGAACAGCAAGACTTGAACTGTAAGCTGAAGTTCGTAATTATGCAGGAAGATATTAAAACACAGTTTCTGTTAATGAGAGCTTCAATCTGTGTACGGTCCTATCACCATTTTCATATCAGTCGTTTACAAATTGTTATCATGGACATTCATTCTCCAGTGCTTCTCTGTGGTGGGTTGCTTCTCAAGGTTGCAATTACGGCTTTTCTCATTGCTTGGTCTTCATTGTGAAGCGCAGCACAGCATGTTTCTTCGGTCATCTTATTGTGACAGAACACTTTTACAATGCAATCTTATGCAACTGTGCTTTTAGCCCTTTGTGCACATTTCCACTGGCTTTGTGAAAAGTGAAGTATTTCATGAGACTGGGCCAAGACGTTGCAGAAAGAGCAGTGAAGTAGCTGCGGACCCTGATTCACTTTTCAACATCTGGTAATGCAGCCAGACATTCATGTTAGGCCATTGGAGACACATCCCTCAGAGGGGTTTATAGATCTAAATGAATGTGACAACAAGCAGTGGATGCTGAGAGTCAGCAACATTTTTCAAGTCCACGTAATGACGAGGGGAGCCAAAGTAAAGTGCTTTGAACAAGGCCAAATGACACACCATGGCAAACGTTCACAAGTCAAAAGTTAATTGCAGACAAAAGAGCATGTTTTGAATGTAAATTAAGAGTGTGTTGGCTGTGTTTTTCTTAAAAGATTAAAAAGGTGATAGCTGTTGGGCCTGTGCTGCTCTGGCCCTCAAAAATTCATAAGTCCCCAATTCTACTGACTGTTATAAAGCACTGACAGTTTCAGTAACATTTGTTGCCCAAATCCACATTGGAAACCACTGGGCCTGTACCGATCTGTACTATGGATTTGGATTGGCTGGAGGGTGAATGTTGCACTTCCATACGCTCATTTGGGTCTATTCAAAGCTCAAATTGTTGGATGTACCATATTTGTATTTCAGACAAGAATTTCTTTTTGTGTTACAGATACCATGATTTTTTGTTCAATTCAGACTGATGCCACATTTCTACATCCAAGCCAATCTATTCCTCAGTCTGCATTTTTGAGCGTCGTAGTTTGTATTACTGTCTAGGGAGGTATTTTCACCATTGAAATGCAGGTCTCAAAATACCTCACTGGCTCTATATTAAACGTTGTTGATCCACCCTCTGTCACTGCTATTAGAGGTCTTCCGTTCTCTTCCCACTCAGTCTCCTGTGTTTTAAAGTTCAGTCAGTTCAGTGTCAGGTAATTCCAACAATATGTATTCCAGAAACATAACTGGACTGGTAGATGGTGGATTTAGAAACCAACAGGATTTACATAACAAAATATCAAAGATGAAATATAACAATATCCTTAAGGAATCTTAAAAATCAGGGGACTTTCTTGAGTCGAGCAATTAGCTAAACTGTACACACAAAGAGTAGATTAATAATACTTGGTGATCTTTAAACGGTCATAGAATCCGTGCCGCTTTGTCCCCCACAATGTGTGATCCAGTTGAACTCTGTAAAAATAACAGGAGTGGCATCGCCGGCATTCTCTGCCATCATAGTGATATCAAATGGGCATCTCAATTTAACAACATTTCAGAGCTAAAATTGTCCCGGAGGGAGAGACTAACAGTGCGTTCCACTTGGATGTTTCACATTCAGGGGAACCAGAAGAGCGAAATGTTGTAATCCATGCTTACAAATTGTAATGAGCCAAAAACACATCAGTGTGGTATCAATTTCATACTAAATATGTTTAATATTCTCCTTGAACTTGTCTGACTGGTCCTCCAAAACACTGCACTCCACCTAATCCTATGATGACGATGATGTACAGAAATATGGGAAATATGTTGATATGTATACAGTGTTAAATTGCTGCTCTCTAGACTATTTAGAAATGTGTTGAAAATCTTTGGCAAAATGTCCCAGTAGTTTCACTGTTTTTCTTGGAAGAGAAATGGCCCTTACGGCCCTATCTGCAGTAATTAAGAGCTTTGTGTGGACATGAAATTGGACTTGAATATAGCTCCTAGAGTGTAGTATATTTATTGCCCTTGCCAAGTGACATCATACCCATTCACTACTGGGACAAAGAGTAAAATCCAGCTATAAATCTCACATACAGTATGTTTCTATAGCATCGACAAAGGAAAAGTCCCACAAACTAAAGATTATACAATTATCTTTATACAGCATAAGAAAAGATCATTACATTGTAGGAATCTAGCTAACGCTTAAATCCCCAGTGACATACAATAAATGAGAATATTGGGGTTCATGGTCTTTGTCAATGATACTAACCAGGGCGTCCAGCCATTGATACACATTGGATGTTAAATGACAAAAGGCACAATCCTTAAATTCATTCAGCCAACTCACATGCAGTGGATTACGTGTGGATTATGTGTATACGGAGTATGTACAGAACTGATATTTGGCACTCCCCTAAAGCATCCCCTAAAAGCCACATTAGATACAGAGCCTGACACCAGCCATTATATAAAATCTATTTTATATAGGCCACAAGCACCGGCTGCCGTGGTGCTACTTTACTGCTGGGCACCACAGACCACAAAGAGAATTTACCATCTTGTGAATTTAGAGGAGTAAGGCTACCAACAACCCACCTGATTAAGACAGGCTAGACACAGCTATGCGGCAGATAATGAGCCAGGAGGCCAAGAGGCATCTTCAATTCTAAGCAACACTATCAGTACATGGATAAAGAACTTTGGTATTGCGTGTGGTGGAAATATAACCCATAGCACAGGAGCTCAGCAGGTTAGCTGTAAGAATATTAAACACAGTATAGCAAGTTGTCACTAGAGCCTGACATGAAATTTTTAAGACCAATACTGATTTTGATATAAGGATTTTAAAATACGATATACCTATAGGAGTATATCTATCTAAAGCAGATTATGTCAGCAGAGTGGTGCGTTTTGTGGTGGATTTGTTCCAAACACATGTTGCCAACAGGTGAGTTGCAGAGTGCCCTCTGGTGGACAAACTATGCAACAACACCACTCATAACATGATTGAAGGATCCTTCTTGCGTCTCAGTTTCTTTTTTATTTGTCATTTTCTGGCTCTTATAAACATACGATATGGATTTACCTGCAGTTAGTTCGTATCGGTAATAGTTGTCACCTAAATGAATTGCTTTGTCTTTAAATAGTTTCCTATTGCTCTGTGATGACCTATAATGTGTGCGACAAAACCATTTTACGTTTACCATGAAGCTTATATTATGCAGAATAGGCTGTGTGCAAGTAAACAGTTATGTTTACCTTCCTGAAGCAAACTGCAAGACAACAGAAACAGAAGAGAGAAAAATGCCACAAAAGCCCAAAACACTCAGAGCATGAGTATTTATGTTTCACCACTACAGAATAAGGGCTCCAAACAATAACAATAACAACAACCATAAGTAGGCCCAAAGGTAGATGAAAGGAGCATAAAGTCTAAACTTTTCATAAGACACTGTTCATAAGTAATAGTTGAAGCATCAAGATAGCCTGCAGCATCAGCAGTGACATTAGGTCATTAAATTGCCAAGCTTCAAACACAAAAACTGACAAACAGAACCAAGACTGAATTACTGAAGATATTCATGTTAGCAAAGGCAGCGCAGCACTTACCTTCATTAAATGTGAAGCACAACATTTTTAGGAAGAGTTGCCATGGTTTCATAGATGACACAGTGGCAGCACCTGGCTTGAAATGGACATGCTGAACACCAGCAGGAAGGATGGTATCATTTTGCTAGCTTAACTTGCTACTCCACAAAGCAAAACGCTGAATTTGAGTGTTAGCAGGTAAGCTTCTATGTGAAATGCTACATTAGCAGCAGTATGAGCCCCATTGGTGGTAGCAGCAAGTGGCTTCATAAGTGTTGTTAGCAAAGGAGCAATGTGACAGCAGGCCAGCAGACAAACCGAGGGCAGGGCACTGACCGTTTATATAGCCTGCCCTATCACAAAGGGTGCGTTAGATTTGCATTCCAGCCGTTAGAATATGTCACATGACAGTGTAGCGGCGCAAGAGGCCTTGTCTACCTGATTTCACTCCGTTTGTTGGATGGCCTCACAAATAATGTGACCCCCGCTGTAAGTGTGGGTTTTCGGTTTTTGATGACACTTTTTTTCAACATCGTACTCGAAATCTATGAGCTTGTGTGACAGATTGTGTGAGTTTTTGTGTGACAGATATGATGGGCAGTTAATGTGTGGGAGAAAGAGAGAAAGGGCTAATGTTTCAAAGACCCATTAATGGTAGCCTAATGTTGTCTGTTTGTTGATTATTAACACACTATTATCATAATTCACAAGTCCACGAAACCACATTTCACACCATTCATTCTTGAAATGATCGACTTGTACACACTGAAACAGACCCATTGCAGTATGTTTTTTTTATATAATTTTAGTATTTTATTTTACTGACTAATTAAATTACTAATGGCTATAACTGTAGACCTAAATGTTGTCTCTAACATCTCTTATCTTATCAAAAGGGCATTTGGAGATACTCCTAAACACTGTATTGTACTGTTTTTATATTATATCTTCTTCTTTTTTTGCTGTTACCCTGACTTTGATGCACCCTGCTACAGAGGTCAATGAGCAGTTCATGTTTCAACATGCAGCATGAAACCACGCTCTGGCACCGAGAGCGAACACTCGAGCACCCGTCAACAGTCCTCAACAGCGATTTTCATTACCGCTGCTCGCCACTTCAGCATGAGGGTATGGAGTGTGACTGCGGCACCAGTGGTTAACTGGGAACATACCACATAAAAGCATCCACTGATGGTGGAGTGGTGTAATCATAAAAACGGGTATGATGGCTCTTAGCTTTATATAGTCCAGGAGCAGCAGCAGGGTGGCAGAGTGAGCAGTTTGTCCTTGAACAAGATACCAACTCTCTATCAACACAGAGGTGATTTTAAAGGATGAAGGGAAATGATATCCACCATACAAAAGCAAAGTATCTCCCACTTGGTGTTGGAGTTTGTCTGAACACAGGTACTTGCAAGTTAAGTACAGTACTGAGTCTCTACACATTGAATTTAAAAAATACCACTTCAGCAATTTTTAAACATTAAAACTGAGGGACTTCAGGACAAAACAAAAACACATAAGGAAATTGCACATAAAGAGTAATTTATTCTGAGTTTTGCTTTCATACTCATCCAAGGGTAGTTACAAATATTCTCCTGTCTTCAGCATGTACTCTTCTCGGCTGCACACTATAAAATTAGACATTTCAAGTGTCACAGATTTAAACACACAAATATTACAGTCCATAGTGAAATGTGAAACAGTATCTTTGTAGTTTAGAGTAGATCAGGGCTATTTAAAATGTAATCAAAAATCTGCAACATACTGTAATAAAACACATTACATCATAACCAGCTTGCTCTTCTACTTTTTCACAAGTATGTGTGTTTGTTGGTGGGTGCTATATGGAGTAAAGCTAATGTTGGACAATCAACAATTATGTTTCAATTATTATATTTTTTAAGACATCAATTAATCAAATTGAATCCATAAAAATGGAACAGTTACTAATAAACTACTTGATATCAATATTGTAGAAGCAGTAAATGCCAAATTGGTGTTTAACTATTGTGATGTACTAAAAGGCACTTTGTTATCACATTTCTTTTGTTGTTGTTGTTGTATAATGTCACTTAAAATCCTGAGCATGAAACCTACATTGTTGTGCGCCAATAATGCAGTAACTATCACATAACATAACTTGACAAATTATAGTTAACACCTTGAGTGGTTTAAAATGTAATAAACCTGTTACTTTAATAAAAAGTTGGGATGATATTATCATCATCCACAACTACATGATGTCTTAATAAACTTCAATTGTTATATTTTCCACAGATATTAGGAATATATTATGTCTACAGGCTTCATTACAATTTTGAACCAGAGCACATTTGTTTTCCGACAGGTTATTACATTATCAGCCACATTATACTTCAAGACAATGTGATACCGGCAGCCTATTTAGTTTGATAAAACAAAGATGAGTAAATCTTTCACAAAGGGAAAAAAAAGTCCAGTTACAATAGAATCAACACATTTCTGGCCAAATGACAGTCAAAGGCAGAGCAAAAGACTTTGCATATACAAAGTAAAATGATTCTTACTTTGCCTGTGCAGTCAAAGTAAGAAGCAATTTTTCCCCAATATCTCCAAATGCTTCTCTGAGTGCTCATCAAGATTGACGTCGCTCATCCAAGTACTCTAATACAGTCTATTACAGTTACAGTTACATTGCCTGTGCCTGTGTTGATTCTCAGTATGACTCCAGCAATGGGTGCCTCTTTTTTGTTTTGGTGACATGAGAAGTTGACACAGTGACTTATAACATTCTGTACTGCAATCAGCAGAAATGACTTATGCCAACTGTGACCAGTGATGATCCCATTAACATTTCGATGTTGCGGGGGGGGGGGGGGGGGGGGGGGGGGGGGGCGCGGTTTCCCCAGTGATTTAGTGCTGAGCTGTCGTGCCATGGTAACAACTGTTGAACTGCATAGGCGTTGTATACACTGCAGGCACTTCGAGGCTGTAAATCACAGCTCTGTTTTTTAGGAGGCCTTACAGACTTTTAAATCTGCCCCACTGGATGTCTGCGGGGCACTGAGGATTGATATAGGACATGTAGGTTCCCATCCCAAATATGGGATCTTTTTGATACACATAAATAACTGAGCAGGGAAAAGAGAGGGATATGATCATATTGGTAAATATATTCTACCAAAGACATATTTCATGTCCAAGTTAAAACAAACTTGTCTGAATAGACAGTAGTCACAGGAGCATCAAAAACGTTTAGCTTTTTTCATGATTTAATTTATTACTGTGATAGAACAGAGGAGTGCTTCTCATTTTTATTTTTATACAAAAAATAATAATAATAATCCCAGCCAGGCATTGTGGGATACTTCAAATTGCCCAGTGCTTACATAATGACTAATGAATGACCCTGTGAAATTGTTGCAAATGTGGTCTTGGAAAAACTTCGGCCGCTGGAACAGTGTGGGAGAGCATCTTCAGAGTGGTATTGCCGTGTTGATACAACCTCAGCCAACATAATCAGTAACAATGCAGCAAGTGGACAGTAATGCTGAAGACAGGAGAGCAAACACTTTTTGTCTGAGGGTTTGGAGTGGAATCAGTGTGTGTGTGTATGTGCGTGCGTCTTGTGTGGGATGGGGTCAGATTCGAGTCAGCTGGTGCCAAAAACTGGACGGCATGAAGTTTTCCATCTTGTCTGCGAAGAAACCCAGGGGTGCAAAGAGTGTGCTGAAGAACTGAACGGGACGAAAGAAGCAGAATGTCAGTAAAACCTCTTTCCACCCATTCTTAGATAATGTGTGAGGAAACACTTCCTAATACACAAACAGTTACCAAGCACACGATTTTACTAAAGCAATGTTATAGAACCTGTCTCAAAGCCTGAGGTAAAACCTTTCCTCATTTACAAAAATTACAATTCGAAATGAAAAAGAACCATTTATATTACATTTGCTAGACAAAAAAAGAGGAATCACAAAATCTCAAGCAGATGCTGCCCTCCAGCTCATCTCTGTCAAACTGGCAGTGGAACGAGTGTGGGAAAAGAAAAAGCTAAACTGAAACAAAAGCTTCGGTCTACCACTAACCTAAGTTTGACGTGCTTATAATGACATACATTTGACTCCTTATCCTGTTGTTCTTTCTGGAAACATGACAGGTGTGACATTAGCAGTAATGATCAAACTGATATAAACACAGCGAGGTTAAGGAGGAGGATTTTCTTTTTTTCAGGGGAGAGAATGCAGTTAAGATGCAGCAAAGCAGTCGTCCCCAGCTGAACATATTTATACATGTGATCCAGAAGCTTCGCCCGAGTACAAGGACGTGAAAGCCAAAGCAGCATTATCCAAGTATTATCATTTTAAACATTCTGTTTGTAGGAACTGACAGTTGAATGTTCTTACCCAATTTGGGGATAAACTTTATATTATCCCCAGATTTACATGTCAACACACTTTTATACATCCAATAAATCATGTTCATTCTTTCTGTCTCTCTTTCGGGCTCTATACGGTGACAAATACATGAAGGGAAAGCAAATAAACCTTGTTTTGTGACAAATTATTTAGAAAATATGGCAAAAGGTGAGTGAATGATCATCGTCCTTTAAAACTGATTTACGATTAACAAAAAGAGCAAAGGCCCTTGTAGAATGACCATGACAAACATAGTGGATGTGCCTCTGTAGTAATATGATCATATGACTATGGTTGGGCGATCATCTCTATTTTCATATTGTCTGATCATGGCTACTTGAGATCACCGATTGGGGATCTGATCACCAGGGGGCGGTGTTGCGTTGCAGCAAGTCAGTGAAATGCCAGCATGGAAAAAAACAGGTTCATTAGCTTTTAGGTAAACTACCAGAAACATCTGTATATGCACAGTACAGTGTTTCCCACAGAATTACCGTGTAACTGTGGTGCCGCGCGATCGATAACAGCTATGTACAGCGTGCTAACCTCAACAACCTAGCTGTATTCTAACATTAACATATCCGTCTCCGACACTGAGAGCTTTGTGTTAAGAAAATAGATAAACACACAGATCCGTTACGATGGGTTCATGAGAGAGAGAGAGGGAGCAAGCAAGCGGAGGTGCTGAGTGAATCGATGCGCTGAGCGCAGCTCCATATTAAATAGCGTATAGTATGTGGCGGTCAGCGTTGACTTTGTGGCGTGGCGTGTCGCCACAAATAAATCAATGACTGGGAAACACTGCAGTGTGGTGCAGATTCTAGAGACTGTTTTTATGTCATCATAGTTCTGATAGTGAGTCAGTTAAAATCGCCTTAATATCGGCGCATGAAAAACCAATCGCTGATCATCCCTTCAATCGTCCATAGCCAATCCAATCGCCAATCGGAACAACCCTACATATGACTATCACAAATAATATCAACATATATCCAACACAGATAGAGTGATGTAGTTAAATCAATCTAACTTATAAGTCAAGTAAACCAAACACTGTTTTTATAAAACCTTTGTAATAATCTAAAAAATCTGACAAATACTACTCTTACTATGTACATAAAAAGAGAAACTCAACCAGTCATTCTTAAGATTACCAGCAGGGCATCCATCCACTTAGATCCAAGATTATAATCTAGGATTTACAGTATATTATGTATGTGTATAATAGAGCATTTCAAATGCACATAGTGATTTAAGTAAGCCAGTAATAGTGAAATGTCCCCGATATGGTTTCTCTCTGAAACTACTCGAGGTGTGCTTGATACACTTTACACTTTAATAGTCTCATAAGTGGACGTATCAGCCTGGCCAGATAAGTGCGAATCAAGTACTACTCTGATCCTCATTTAATATATGAAACATATTTAACCAGTAGCTATACATGTCTGTATCAAAAGAAAGACTGGCACCACCAACAGGAAGACTGCCACCACCACCTTCGCTGTCTTGCCTTGCTTGGATCTTCTGTTCAAGAGCAGCAGATTCACAGAAATCTGTTTCTCCTCAGAAGGCACTGTGTTCCTCCCTCAATGGTTTTCATGCACTCCATCTGAACATTACACAAACCAGACTCTCCAGGGTTGCTGTAAAAATCCTATCAGCACCCGATCTTTCCCATAACAAAAGGAAGAGCACTAAATGTTCTCTGTGACCTTGTTTTTGCTAGAAGTATGAATCTAAAAGCAGGCCCTAATAAACAGGGTGATCATAAACAAAGGATTAGCCAAAGTAAGGCATTTGCCAAACTGTCTTAAAACAGATAACACAACACTTCTATCCTAAATAAACAGTACAAGGAAGTCATGCACGCATTTAAAGTTTTTAAACATTTAAGACTGTAAGCTACACTGTTGTGTTGGCTATGCTGATAAGCTCGCATTATTCAGCTGTGGTCTCTGATAGCTTAGGTTGAACTACAGCTTGTTTTGGCGGGAAACACAGACTTTACAGGCCTATGACTCCCATGAGCCTCCAGTGTTACTGACAGTGATGGAAGGCAGCAATTACCACGGGGGTTAAAAGGTTCAGATTACAAACAACGTGCATTTAAAACACAGAAAGGAAAAGGAACCAGAGATTAACTGAAGATGTAACCGTCAGCCAACTTACACGTTAAACTTGTGTAATGATAAAAAGTGGAATTTATGAATTAACATCTATACATTAAAAACAAAGCAAGTATTGAGACAACGTTGTGTTAAGTAGTTCAAGTACTTACTGCTTTGGCAAAGACACCCATGAGCTCAGGGAACTGATGTGTGAGCATGGCCAGCATGGCAGTGAAGGAGCAAAGGCCTGCTGTGAAGAGGATGAAGAAGGGAAGCTCTTTCTTTGGGTACACAGACACCTCGTGGAATGCTGGAGCAAAAATGACAACAATCAGAAGAAGAGAATTTGACAAAGTCATAACCAGTGCAGATAAACAAGAAAAAAATGGTACAGTACAGTACATTTATGGACTATTGCACTTACAGGGAAGTAGTTCCCTATCTGCTGTTTCTGTGCATCCTGGGTAAGGGTAAAACAGGTGACCCTTTTCCAGTGGGTAGGGAATTATCCGGAAGGCTGTAAAGACAGACAAAGGTGTATATAGGAAATTGAATGAAGTACACACAGTACACTGTGAAAAAACATTACTGGTATTTTAAACTATGGCTGGAAGAGGCTGTTTAACACAGCTGACGCAATATTCAGTAGAAGCAACAAAATATTATAGAGTGACAAGATACTAACATCCTAATAAAGTATAACAATAACATTCTTCCAGTGCCTGTATAGTCAGAAGTTAGTCAAAACTTTGTGGGTGTGGTGTGCGTAAATTATATTGACACAACAATTTGAGCAGCACACAAGGAAGATACTTCTTGACTTTATTAAAGTACTGTACTTTGAACAGAATCAAAGAAAATATTAGGTTTTTCAAAACTGGAAGGATAAGAAATAATTTACATTAAATATAAAAATAAACATTCAAATGCAAAGCAGTGGTATGCAATACAAGATGTAATAGTTATACATACTGCCCTCCCAGGTACAGTGTAGTAGGTTTAAGGCTCCCTCTGCCCTCTTCCAGTGCTGCAGGTGGAAGAAAGCATATGCCACTGCCTCGCTGTCACCCCTCTTCAAGATGTGCTCTGGAGGCAGGATCAGGCTCTTCATCTCCAATAAGTACTACAGACAGGAAGAGGAAGAAACACAACACCTCTGTTAAGTATACACTACAGTACCTTAATGCTTTTATAGCTCCTGAACTTGGTAAAAAATAGCACGCATAGCAAGTGTGTAGTCTAGATTCAGCTATTTGTCCCAAAGTCTGTATATTTTTTACACAATCTGCTTTTGTTTGCTAGAGCTCTGTTTTCACCACTTCTAAAATCAGTCATCTACAGTGGGATCAAACAGTAGTTTTTGGTTCTGTATAGTTCTATATGGTTAAGTTCCAGTGGCCAATCCTGCCTCCTCCATACTATAACACTTTCAACTGCTCACACTATTCCACCGCTCTTTATTGAACCTGGAACGTTAGAGGAGCAGCAGCTCTGTACGAAATATACCGGAGACGCCGAAGAGGAAAGGGTGTCGGCACGCTGGTTAATCTGAGACAGAGGGGTTTTTGCACTGCGCTCCCTTCTATCCACCTGGCGAATGTCCACTCTCTGGCCAACAAAATGGACGAACTGCTGCTTCTCAACAGAACTCGGACTTCTGCAGATTTGCCGCCCTCAGTTTTAACGAATCCTGGTTCACCAAGCACCTCCCGGACAACGCACTTCACCTACCGGGATTTAATCTCTTACTGCAGATGTGAATTATCTTGAAGCTATAATCTGGTACAGTGCATCAAATGGTAACGTTTATGTTTTACTGTACGCTGTACCTTTTTAAATAAAGAATTTAGTAGTCTTCCGAGCAGATCGCGTAACGGAGCTCACGGGAAAAACAAGGGAAGGCAGACACTGTCTCTATATAAACAAAGGTTGGTGTACAGATGTCACAGTGTTGAAGAAATTATGCAATCCTCACTTAGAGACATTATTCATAAACTGTAAACCTTTTTATTCACCGCAGGAGTTTTTCTCGTTTGTTCTGGTCGCTATTTACATTACACCTCAGGCCTGTGTTAGTGAGGCGTTACTACACCTGGCCGACCAGATAACTAACTAGAAAAAACATCCAGACTCCCTGCTCATTGTTCTAGGGGACTTCGACAGAGCAAACCTCAACCATGAACTTCCAAATTACAGACAGCATATTAAGTGTCCCACCAGGGACAGCTAAGCTCAGACAGCTATGGTTGGAAAAGGAGGAGGCATTTAGGAGTGTTGACAGGGCCGGGTGCAGGGCATTAAAGTACAGGTTTAGCAGGGAGGTGCGAGATGCTAAACAACTGTACTCAGAGAGACTAAAGAACCAGTTCTCTGCAAATGATGCCACTTCTGTCTGGAGGGGGTTCAGACAGATCACAAACTATAAACCCAAAGTCCTCCACTCCATAAACGATTCTCGCCTGGCAAATGAGCTGAACAAGTTCTACTGCCGCTTTGAGAGTCAATCGGACACCATCCCCCGTGACTCCTCCGCTCACCTTCAGCCTCAGGCCCCATCCACACTATTGCGTTTTCAAATTAAAACGGAGACCTTTTGCTACGTTTGCACCTCCCGTCCAGACTAAAACGACGAAAAAGAAGACTTAAAACTGAGAAGTTTGGAAACGCTGCCGACCCCGTTTTGTGTTTCAAAACTCCGGAGGACGTTTTAGTGAAGACGGGCCAAAACGGATAACTTTAGAAACAATGATGCAGCTGTTGACATCGTATTTTTATTATAATATTATGTACCGTGCAAATAACACTTATCTGCCTACACTCGTACTGTGCATGTCACCGTTTCCTTTGTGCCGACTCCCAGTCGGTTTTCCACCGCCACACTCCCATGTTACACTCAGCAACAGTCCCAGCTCGTTATTGGTGCATGCAAAAAAAACAAAACAAACAACTGGTCTGATGCTTTCTCTGTATTTATTTATTCTTTCGCCAGATCTTCTGTAACTACGGAATAGACCATCTGCTTCATGTTTACACTGGCATGCACATGCCCAGTGTACCTGAACGGGCCCTACTGTGTTGTTTTAATGTAGACGGAGATCAACTCCAAAATGCAGCTAAAACGCTGGTGTGGATGGAGATCGTATTCGTTTTAATTCTCCGTTTGTAAACTAAAACGGAGTAATGTGGATGGGGCCTCAGTCCACCACTTCTTCCCCTCCCTCCTCAGAGCTGGCCAGCTCCACCCCCTCCCCTCCTCTCTCCATCACAGAGAGGAAAGTCAATGGTCTTTTCAGGAGGCAGAAACCCCGCAAAGCAGCAGGGCCGGACTCTGTCTCCCCACCCACCTTGAAGCACTGTGCTGATCAGCTGTCTCCGGTGTTCACAGACATTTTTAACACCTCACTGGAGACATGCCATGTGCCAGCCTGCTTCAAAGCCTCCACTATCATCCCTGTCCCCAAGAAACCAAAGACCACTGGACTAAACAACAACAGACCCGTTGCCCTGACCTCTGTGGTTATGAAGTCCTTTGAACGCCTTGTGTTGTCCCACCTAAAATCCATTACAGACCCACTCCTGGACCCCCTGCAGTTCGCCTACAGAGCCAACAGGTCTGTAGATGATGCAGTAGACATGGCCCTTCACTACATCCTCCAGCACCTGGACTCCCCAGGAACCTACGCCAGGATCCTGTTTGTGGATTTCAGCTCTGCTTTTAACACCATCATCCCGGCCCTGCTGCAGGACAAGCTCTCTCAGCTGAACGTGCCTGACTCCACCTGCAGGTGGATCACAGACTTCCTGATGGACAGGAAGCAGCACGTGAAGTTGGGAAAACATGTCTCTGACCATTAGCACCGGTTCCCCTCAAGGCTGTGTTCTTTCCCCCCTTCTCTTCTCCCTGTACACCAACAGCTGCACCTCCAGTCATCAGTCTGACAAGCTCCTGAAGTTTGCGGATGACACCACCCTCATTGGGCTCATCTCAGGTGGGGATGAATCTGCCTACAGGTGGGTGGTGGTGACCTGGTGCAGCCAGAACAGTCTGGAGCTCAACACTCTGAAGACCGTGGAGATGGTCGTGGACTTCAGAAAGAGCACAGCCCCACCCTCCCCCATCATCCTGTGTGACTCCCCAGTCACCACTGTGGACTCTTCCTGGGCACCATCATCTCCCATGACCTCAAGTGGGAGCTGAACATCACCTCCCTCACCTAGAAAGCCCAGCAGAGGATGTACTTCCTGTGGCAGCTGAAGAAGTTCAGCCTGCCAAAGACAATGATGGTGCATTTCTACACTGCCATCATTGAGTCCATCCTCACCTCCTCCATCACCATCTGGTACACTGCTTCAACTGCCAGGGACAAGGTCAGGCTGCAGCGCATCATTCGCTCTGCAGAGAAGGTGATTGGCTGCAATCTTCCTTCTCTTCTGGAACTGTACTCCTCGAGGACTCTGAGGCGTGCAGGAAAGATTGCAGCTGACCCCACCTCAGACACAAACTGTTTCAGACTCTCCCCTCTGGCAGGAGGCTCCGGTCCATCAGAACCAAAACCTCTCGCCACAAAAACAGTTTCTTCCCGTCTGCAACTAGCCTCATTAATAAGGCCCGGGTCCCCTACTGACACTCCCCCCTTGCAAATAATACAAATGTCTCTGCACATGTAAATACTGTTTCATCTCGTGTCGGGCACAGACCTGGCATGTTGCACACACATATTTGTTGTTGATTGTTGATCTTTGTTGTTGTATATTTTTATGTTGTCAGTTTATATATTTATATGTACATAATACTCGCTTCCGTTGCGTTACTTCTGCATGGCACAGACCCAGAATAATGCACATGTATATATCTGCAAAGTTGTTTTTCCATTCCAAATTTATATATTTCTACATTTATTTATGTTGATTGTATGTTTGTCTACGTGTAGCACCTTATCACCACAGCACATTCCTCGTATGTATAAAACACTACCTGGCAATAAAGCTCCTTCTGATTCTGAAACGCCTATCGCTCAGTTCCCCGTGCATCCTTGGGACTCTCTGATCTGGTTTATCTTATTCCGACATAGGGGCAAAAACTGAAATCTGCTAAACCTGTTGTGTTGACTGTACTGACTGGAGTATTTTTGAAGCTGCAGCCACTGACCTGGACGAACTAACTGGCACTGTGACATCAGGGTTCTTGCACCATTTGAAAAGTCAAATTTAATGCTTTTTAAGACCTTTTAAGACCTCAACAAATATACATTTAAGACTTCAAATTTTGAAACAATTTCTTTGACAGAAAAGAGACGCGCATTTGATCTCTTAATGAACGTTGGAATGTCATAATTGGCAGGTAAATGACTTATATTCCGAATCGGGGAACATAGAGGCTGTTTACAGCTGGCATTAAAATGTATTTTGGGTGATCAGATTGTGATCGGGTAGCACTTGACCACATAAGCAGGCCTACAGTTGTAAATGCACCCGAGACACATTGAGGACAGATTGTGATCCAATCAGCAAAACGAGCTCTGGAGGTGGTCAGGGACACCATGACCACCTGGATGCAAATGTGTTGTCTATCCACATACAACTACTTGGGTGGAAATATGTACCGGTCACAGCCTTCTGCAAATAAAATACAAAAGTCTGACAGCACAGACAGGCGCCTAGACAGTGTGTCCAAACAGTGTTGTGCATAAACGTGCTCAAACAGTGCCAATTATTGATCATGCTCAGGTTTTTGGTGAACTGATCGTGTCCGTTTGTGAACGTGAACAAGGGCAGGGAAATAAAACAATAATGTTAAATATCGTGATGCAATCTTCTTCAATAACAATATACAAATGTTCAATAAATATTTGATTTAATTCATTTGAATCACAAACAAATTAGCACTTTCTTTTCTATTAAGATATTTATTGTGTTGAGGAAAAGGGACTGAAAAAAAGATTTTACTTTGTTTTTCTCATGCATATTTGTTGTTTTGAATGTTCTACCTCAGCTTTGTGAAGTGATCCACTGTTTGATACCAGCCTGCTTTTTGGCATCAAGTGTTTGTCATGTTCTGACCATAAAGAAAAGTTTTAAAGCACAATTAACCATCTGGTTTCTTCAGAAGCAAAAAATCTGCCT